AGAGTTGACAGGGTCTGTAGGAAAATTGGTTATAAAATATATTCCACCCATGATTCAAGGTTTGCGAGTGACATATTATGAGCAAACTGCCTCTAAGATTCTAGCTGTCAGTCACCAACCTGAAAGGTTATGAAATTTGGTGGACCATTCACCAACTAGAAGTCAACTACTGGGTGACTATCAACTGACAACCAGATTGACTACTGAATACCTACCAGTCCATATACTTTGAAACCTTAGAAACAGTCTGTTTCAAACATGCAATCATACTATGTATTTCTAACAGGCATTTGGTGTTAAGTTTGCTCCAAATACCTCAGTCAAAATCCTGCAGAGATTTAAGCAATTCCTTGGTCATTCACTGCTAACAATGACATTAAAGATGAAAAGTACTATTACACTTTACCTGGAAGATGTACTGTTTGTGAGCTGCTTTGATGGTGGACATGAAGACATATTCAGAGTTAGGATAGTAGATGATGAAAACATTGTTGCTGAGTAAACTGGCGGATGATCCATTACAGATGTGAATTCTTGTCCATAAACCATTTTTCCAAAGATGAACATAAATTTCCTTTGAAAATGGTAAAAATGTTTTTCACTTGCTCATACAATCTACATCAGGGGATATATATAAGATTGTAAGAGGCTTACATTCAAGTTACCTTTAAGGCTGGTCAGAATAAAAGAATCATTTCCATGAAATTCAACTGTATTTATCATGAGAATTGTTGACAAAATCTCTCTCTAACTCACCACTTTGAAGTAAAGTCCTAGACAGGATTTCAATTGTGACTTAAATTTCCAGGGGTCTGATGCATTTAGCTCCTTCTTGGGGTCTAAAATTGAAAGTACATTAACACAGGAAACAAACTTAAAAAATGTGTGTCTGTGTCACGACTGGATTTCCTAGCTTAATTCAACAAAAGGTAGCAATCACATGTCTTAAATTTATTTGTTTACACACCTAATTCCTGGCTAATCATTAAACATTCACTCTAGTTGTCAACATCAAAATTCACAGGGTTGCTAGTAATTTTTGAAGAATTCATGTAGTCACACTGATCTTTCACTAAGGAATCAGAGAAATAAAATGAGCCAACAGATTAGCCAGTCAAAAATATGAATAACAGGTGAGTGTTTTTCCTTCAAGTCCTTGCCATTGTATTGTTGATGGCTCACTGTAGATGTATTTGACCTATCCACAAATTTCTGTAACAAGCTTGTTAAATAAGTGATTGTCTCTGAGTATAATAATTATTGTTTTACAAGAGTATTAAAGGTTAATATAAAGAATGACACTTACCAAAGCCTACAAGCTTGTATACAGTCCATTTCTTACAGCTTGGATGAGACTGGTGATCTGAAATACCCAAATACAATAAACTCTCTCAAAGTGAAACCTCCAGAAAACAGACAGCTTCCTGAAATGCTAAGTTAGAGTCCCTATTTTTATCGTTTTTTTTTTTTAAGTTTTCCTTTGTTTTCTTGTATAGTAAGGCATTGATAAGTGTGCAACAACGAAATCAAAATCAAACCAAGGTAAGATGGAACAGAGGCATATTAATTATAAGCTTAATTATCACTCAATTTCATCGAGCCTTCGCTCAATTAGTTACTATATCTATATTTAATGATTTTTAATGCTTGTATGTTGATAAATAATTTGTTATCGTACAAACATGATGCTGAAAAATTGGCAACAATTGGAAAATTAAGGCATTAGAAAGTTTGTTTAGATAACACAGCTGGTCTGGCAGTTTAAATTTATAATTATTCTTGTTCTGAAGTTGATTTAGACTAAGAACACCAAAGTTAATTTTTACAAATGGAAGCTAATAAGATCAAATCAATACCAGAAATATACTTCAGTCCAACAAGTTAAAAGAGAGAAACGAACTTACACATGAGATCCATAAGGCTGACCTGTTCAGCCGTCACATTCTTGTCAAAACACCTCTTTAGAATGCGATTGACGAAAGTTTTCTTTGTTCCTTCTGTATCTAGCACATCTTCATCCAAAAATCTTTGTTCAATGAGTCCCTTTAGTAGTTCTTCTTTGCTAAATTTGTTGAATAATTTGCACAAATCTTTCTTGAGCAAGTCATCCGCCATCTTTGTTTGCAATTACAAATCGAGCGCCAAAACATGAAGTAGCCAATCAAAGATGCTTCTGCAAATAACAACTGCTCATTGCAAGTGTCGGGGTGGACTCGGGCTGATTTTGTTATAAACAAAAATATGAAAAAGAAATGATGAAAAAAACATTTTGAAGTATTAGTAAAAAAATATGATTTTTAAAAGTCTCAGACTCCTTTCATTTTTAGTCTTATTGTGTATTGATAAAGTTATTTTTCCTGGCGAAGCTGACACCCTATTCCTCCCTACTTCGTTAATAATTGCTCTCCTTTGACCAAGACCGCTGACCATTAAAAGGTTAAACTTCAAGATGGCGACGGCGGGAATATCGGAGATTTACCGCAATGTTTTAGGAAGCGATTTGTCCCAGTGCGTGAGAAATTCGAAAGTTTTGATGGTTGGAGCAGGTGGTATCGGCTGTGAACTTCTAAAAAATTTGGTTTTAACTGGTTTTAAGGATATCGAAGTGGTGAGTGCGTCAACTACTGATGTTGTGAAAAATGACAATGCACATGTGTGAATGCATTGACAGCTTTAATTAAAATGAAACGCTTGAAAACATGCATTTCGGCATGCTTAGCTGTATGCTCTTATACAGCTGTCTGATGGTATACCGGCAAGAATTGCAACTAGATCGGTTTGCTATTGCTGGAAACGTCTTTCCCACTGATTTTCAAAATTTTTGACATTACATTTACTTTTGTACTCTAACGTAAATGTTGGTTTCCCTGTGTTGTAATTATTATTTTTTCGCTCTTGTAGGAATTTACTTTTTTCAAACATTATAGTAAAAACATTTGCTGAGGCATCGTCTTGTGTTTTCTTCGAATTGGCCCTTACCTGTTCAATGAGCCTGAATCTGAATTGCATATACAATATACCGTGATGATGAATAGACCGATTTGGTTAACATTTGAAAGCAAGAACATGAAGTTGATGATACATATAATCTGTGGTCTGCTTGTTGAGCTACTACAACTTACTGATAAAACACTGAACTTAAAAAGTAATCATATAACTGCTTTCCATTTCTGAGTGAATAATTGATTTTGCATTCTGATCATCTGGGTGAGAGAAGTCCTGACAAGGACTGCTCTTGGTGACATTGACTGGCACTTTGACAGCCTGAGTGGAAGTTGAAACCTCAGTCACTGCCAAGTGGTAACAGTTCTGTTCAGGGAAACTCTTAGTCAGACAAACAGAGGAGATGATCAATGTTGTGAAATCTATAATATGAACTGTTTGGCCTCAGGCACAATTTTATTGAAAAAAAAAACAAAAAAAATCCTATGTGAGACCCAATTGTAGTTGATAGTGCAATGCAAGCAGGCATACATCTTGACTAGACATAAAATGAATGTTAAAAGGAAGAAAATGAAATAGTGTAGTAGTATAATCATATACACTTGACTGAGTAAGGTCAGGTTGGGCAGAAAAATATATATAGCTCCAATTAGTACATGATATGTAATGCATGTGTATTCGAAGATTACAGATAAATCACATGCTTTTTATGCTGTACTCAGGTTATCAGAAGCTAATGGTAATTCTAGTCTTCATTATTTTATTTAGATTGATCTGGATACCATTGATGTTAGTAACTTGAATCGCCAGTTCTTGTTTCAAAAGAGACATGTTGGAAAATCCAAGGCACAGGTACTGTAGATACACCTCAAGCTGTTACTGATTTAGTTTCACAGTGTTATAGTTTCTAACCCCTTTCTAGTTCTGATTTAATGACCTGTTGGTTCACCAACTGATTTGCAGTACAAATACTTCAGTCAACTTAGCTAGACTACACACAAAGATTGTAGGGGAAAAATCAACAAAATTATTTTATTTGATACTGTATCACATAACAAGAAAACAAGTGGAATTTACACAATGAAATAAAATGTGAATGAATATTCTTTTGAAAAATGTACCAATTACAAAAAAGAAATACTCAGTAGGACAAACACAGAAAGCTGAACAGTGGGATTGAATGATCATCAGTGATCAGCCACACTTAACATATTTCAGTGAATAAAGAGCAAAAGTTTCTAAAGAAATTGTGGTACTATGTTGGTGGTGGGTATTACAAGATGATTTGATTTTGTAAACTGAGTTGATGACTGAAATTGGCCGCCATAAAGAGTTTCTATAGCTGACTTTTCAAATGTTAACCCTTTGCCAGAGCATTGGCCAAGTCTCATGATCAACTTAGATATTAAAACCAAAATATTTCAAAATAGATTTATTTTAATGAGTGCCCTGTATGTAGATGAAGTCAAGAAGACAGGATTTTTTTCAGCCTGACTAAGATGGATAGCAGGAGTTTTAATAAGCATGAGAAAAAAGCACTCTTCAAATTAACACATATTTTGTTATATTGGTATTGAAAATTAAAGTACAGTAATGAAAGAAAACAAAATGTTACATCTTACAGGTATCCCGTGAGAGTGCTCTTCAATTCAATCCTGATGCAAATATCAAAGCTCATCATGATAACATTATGAGGTGAGTCACCAATAGTTGCCCTTTACCTTCATGCATTTTTAGTATTGGTAGGAATAAGGTAAAATGTATTGATTGAAATGAATATACATATACAAGGGGGGTAGCTAACCTAAAACCCAGTAGGCCTGGTCCTATAATTTTTTTTTCCACCTACTTTACTTCTCAAATATGACCCTTGCAAAAATGTGGCAACAAAAATTGAACTTCCTTGAGGAACAGGCCTACAGCAAGTCATATAGTTGGCCCTGTATACTGTACTTTTTGTTCAGTGTTTTATTTTCACAAAATTGATTTTATTTTGAGGTCTATGCTTTTTTCCAGTTATCAATAACTATGTACTGTATGATAAATGACTCAACATCTAAAACTCCAAAGGAGCCTCTGTTTGGCTTAAAATTTTACACCTTGAGGAATGGTGGTTATTACCAATATTTATATCCCTTTACTTTTCTCAAATTCTTTTCTGAAATAGTTATAAACATGTCTGATTCTTCCTACTTTTTCCCAAAACTTAGCCCTGACTATGGTGTAGACTACTTCAAACAATTTGATGTGGTGATGAATGCTTTAGACAACAGAGGTAGGGTAATTCAACCTTTTCATTCAAAGATCTGAAAGACACTACTCTAACATGTTAAATTGTTCAGTGCAATTTTTTTTTTGGTTACTGCTGAGAATTTTGAGTTAAATCATGGCAATATTCTTAATTGAGGATTCAGTTATCAATATGTTTTTCATTGGTTCATGTGTAGATTGTAAAATGCTTTTTGTGACATGATAATGATATTTTTGTTTCTGTTGTGCATGTAGCGGCCAGGAACCATGTGAACAGAATGTGTCTGGCAGCGGATGTTCCTTTAGTGGAAAGTGGCACGGCAGGTTATCTAGGACAGGCTACTGTTATTAAAAAGGTATTAAGCTATTAACAACTGATTGCATGATTTTTCTCAAACAATTTGAAATGAAAAACCACATTTAAACTTTTTAAAATTCTTCAAACTCAAGATCATGTGATTACCAATACAAAACCAGGTTGAGCTCATTAAGCTTTACAGTGCATCTTAAGTGGACCAAGTCTTGTCAATTTTACATTTTTTGTTACTCTGCCTGACCTTCCCTGACATACATTGTGTCCAAGTGCAGCTAACTTAACTTGTGTTTGTTTGCCAATCCTCAGGGGGTTACTGAATGTTATGAATGCCAACCAAAACCTACACAGAAGACATTTCCAGGTTGTACAATCAGAAATACTCCTTCAGAACCAATCCACTGTATTGTCTGGGCAAAACATCTTTTTAAGTAAGTCTTGACTTAATTATTATTCATTAAATGTCAAAACAATGCAAACAGAATGGTTTTAGTTTTACACTTACTGACTGTAAAATGTTGTGCAACTAGAATAAATTAGCTTTCACATGACCAGTGATGAGGTAATTATTGTAGTTTTTTTTCTTTTGGAGCTAGTTTGGATGTTACACCATATTTACAATCCCCTCAACTACTCTCATGCATTACCATCTCTTGATAAAACCCTACACAGTTAACTTTTATAGAAAGTAAAGCTTAGAAGAAGAGGTTGGTACATACAGAAAGTGTGCCACACATATTGGTTTACAAGGTGTTGTTTTTAATCTGCCTGTAGCCAGCTGTTTGGTGAGGCTGATGCAGATGAAGAGGTATCTCCTGACACTGAGGATCCAGAGGCTGTGGGTACGGCAGGAGAAAGGGCAGTCCAAAATCAGGAGAAGGAGGGTGGGACTGGAGGCATTGAGAGAGCATCAACAAGAACATGGGCTGAAGACATTGGATATGATCCTGTTAAGTTGTTTAACAAAGTAGGTCAAGTGAAATTCCGATCATTTTATGGAATCTCCCAATGGCCTGTGAGGTCAGTGTCAAACAGATTTGCTGATGGGCCTATCAATTGGAAGCTTCAACATCCCCCCTCAACACAACATTTTGGCAACTTCATTTGGTTTTTCCAACCCTAAGAAACAGATCAGTAAGCTCTAAATGATATGTTCCTGTATTGCTTTCTCTTCAGCTGTTTAATGAGGATATCAAGTACCTTTTATCAATGGATAAGTTGTGGAAAAAGAGAAAACCTCCTGTGCCTGTTGACTTTGAAAGTATCCAAAAAGGTTAGAAGTAATGATTCTGTTTCCCTATTTGTTGTGGGGAATTGTGGACCCAGAGCTCCACAACTCTAGTACTTAAGTTGAGGCAACTTTTCCTTGTGAATATTGAATCACATTTTTCATGAGAGGCAGTTTAGCTGTTTGAGTGAACTGTGCTATAATAGGTTCAAGCTGAAATACCTTGGACTCCAGATGCCTCAAGCTAGGTCTAGTCCCAAAACCTTTACCTATGAACTTTCTGTGAGCATCTTAAACCATTCATATGACAATATGAATGGAGAAGGATCCAGATAATATGATAGGGAGTGTTCAAAATGGACCAACCATGCCTGCCTCCCCCTGCCCCATCACTCTCAGTTACACCAAAAACTTAGCCAATGGAGTAGTAGTTTGTTATCGCGTTGTTATTGTTCACACCAAGTATTTTGGAGTCAGGCTGGTAACAAAGGAAAAACCTTGAGGTACCATATTAAAAGAGGTGGGGGGAGGGGTGTGTGCAGACCTGTGGGACCCTTTACCTGGATCTGCCACTGCTTTTCACTTGTCCTTGCAAGATTTAGGTAATGGAACTGCACTCATCGTATGGTTTAAAAATAATTAACCAACAAACAAAACAGAATGATAACAGCAACAACAAACATTTACAATTTTGTAAATTGAGTTTTTTTACGATCCTTAAGAAAAAAGACACTGAATGCTTTAAAACCAAGTGTGATTGTTCTGCAGGATGCGAAAATGATGAAAAGGACGCGGATAATGGTTTACAAGATCAAAGAGTATGGAGTCCTGATGAGTGTGCAGACATCTTCAGTCAAAGGTTGGTGTCATGGAAAAGCATTTTTTGTTTGAATTGGCGATTTACACCAGAGGTAAATTTCCCATAAGGAAAATTAGATTTGAAAGGAAATGCAGTCAACACTGGTTTACTCGAATCTTCTTCACCATAGTCTGTAGTTCTCATTTCCCACAAATGTAGAACTCTAAACGCTTATTATAATTTAGTTTCCCTTTAATATACCTTTTCTTAGATTTTAGTTGGTCCATTGTGGACATATACCTTAAATGATATGAATTACTGATGAGAGTGGTCAGTTCAACCCTTTTATCCCTAAGAGTGATGAGGTTCTAATTTCTCTTTACAATCTATCTCTTGAATCAAATGTTTAAGTCACGAGAATAAAGGAAATGATCAGCAACTAACGAAGCTCTTGATGATTTTACAAATTCTCCTTGTTAGAACCTTGGAAATGTAGAGAGAACAGTATGGAGAATGTGCATAATGATGTTAGGGTGTAAAGGGTTAACAAATGCATCCCATGCTGCCGTGCGTCGTTTCAGTAGCGATCACAGATGACTTCAAAATGCGATAAGAACTGTTGTTCTTGCCACATTTTGACGTGTTCTGTGATCTTTGATCACTGTATAGACCCACGTCGACATGGCATTTATTGGTTTTAATGTTAAAAAGAGCAAAGTGTAGTGAATGGAACGTCATCTATGGGTCTGTCCTCTGTACCATAAAAACGTAAAATAAAATTGCGTACATTCATCTTAGCGTATAATTTAAGACAGTTTCCTTCTGCTATACTTAATTTTGTCCTTTCATCATGAGAAAACAATTTCTTAACCACTTTAACTCCGTCAAAGCATTAAGATTTAGGCGATTCAGTCATTGCTCGCATATATACAGCATGTCTTTAACTATTTATATAATAATTATTTTTATCATTCCAGTGTTGATACATTAAAGCAGCAGTTACTGACCAGAGGAGAAGATCTTGTGTGGGATAAGGTCGGTGTTTCATCGGATTGACTTCACACAAACTAGTGACAGCAGTAATGTAGATAACGGAAAGGAACCCGGGAAAAGATGAGAAGCTAGGAACATATTTACCTTGCTGGAAACAACGCACGTTTGTTAAATTGGCTTTTTCATCCACATTTTCATACCTGGTAAATTTTACCCACATCCCCTGAGATGTTTGACAACGGCCTACCAACAGAATGCTTACAGTTTCAATAAACTTGAGTTACGTAATAAAGTTACAGTCAAAACAGTGCTCGCTGGTTTACTGACCAGCGGTCCACTTATGGCTCACTACTAATTGCAAAGAATCGGCCAACAGACAGCTTATAGTTTTCCAACAAATATCTACCGGTTCTTTTGGAGTTTTTTCTTGCTTTTTGTCCTTTCTTGAAGTCCATAAAGTTGCAATATTTTTCATAGTTGAAACAAGTTTTAAGGCTTGAATTTTTACATTGCTGTCCACAATTTTTTTTTTGCAACTGTATATTCCACAGGATGATCCGGCCTCCATGGACTTTGTCACAAGTGCAGCAAATATCAGAGCTCACATCTTTAGTATTCCCATTAAAAGCCGCTTTGACGTGAAAGGTTTGTGAGTTGTAGCAAGTACTGCAGAGTTTGCCGGCTAAACAGCTCGACACTTTATTCAACGTGTTGCTGAACACAGAACTCTGTAGACTTAGTAGCACCTTCGAGGGAAAGGGTCGTATACACTTCGTTGGGTTTGTTGCATTTATCCCATCTTTACATAATTCAAACTTTTGCAATTGGTTTTATATTCGCCCAGCGTTTTGTTTTTATTTTGTTTTAGCTATGGCGGGCAACATTATACCAGCCATTGCCACAACAAATGCCATAGTATCTGGTCTCATTGTTATGCAAGCTCTTAACATCCTCAATGGAAAGCTGGACAAATGCAAAACGGTACGTTTCCACCACGACAATAATTACAACAACAAAAATAGCAAAAGGCTTTCATGGTTTTGAGGCGTTTGAGACATTTCAGCGTTATAGACTGGATTGAATTCCACTTCTTCTCAGAGAGCTTTGGGAGTCAGTGTCGAAGGTTGTCTTAGATTGTAGAGCGCTTTTCGATTAAGCGTGGAATACCAAAACCAAAGTCATCGCAACGGCTAATCAGAACAAAAGAAAATATCCTCCGGAGCCAACGAGAACTCAAAGTGAAAAAATGGCTAACGGTCAAAAAGGTGGGAAAATACAGTCGTGCTTGGTTATAGTTTTGCATCTGATTGGTCGAGAGAGTGGCGCAAGTTTTCTGGACCAATCACAGAGCAAAGTAAACAAGAACCAAAGCAATCTCGGATACTTTTGACACTCAATGGAGATTGCACAAGCGCGTAGCAAAACAAAACCGCCGCGATTTAAGGCGCAAACGCTTAGGGGTGGCCGGTGGGGAACCAAAAACTAAAATAATTACTTCACTTGATCTCTGGTAACTTTCTTATTGTCGTTTTACTTGCAGATTTATCTTAACCGTCAGCCGAATCCAAGAAAAAAGTTATTAGTTCCTTGCAATCTCGTTCCACCGAATCCCAAGTGCTACGTTTGTGCCGCTAAACCAGAGGTAAGGTAGAGGTAAAGTGTTCCTCAAAGAAATTTTATTGACAGGATGCGCTGAAATGGTTCAAAGAGTGTTTTACTCTCAGTCCATAGGTCTGGTTAACCCATTGACTCCCAAGATCTTATTAGTAATTCTCCTTACTGTCTGCTATACAATTCTTCTGATGTTACTTCTGAGAATTTATATTGGATAAACTAATAATCCCCTAATTGATACTTTTCTCGGTTCTTATCACTTGTCCTCGTGGTTTTGTATGGATATCGTAAAGAGAAATTCTGTCTTGGTCACTCATAAGAGTTAAAGGGTTGAGAAGGGAAATTATTTCAGTTCCTCCTCTTATCGTTTTTTTTATTTAAATTTTCTCAATGCACACACGTTCATGTTCGTTAACTACTGCTTTCTCTTTTTGTTAGGTTACTGTCTTCTTAAACACAGAAACTCTTACAATCAAGACGTTAGAGGAAAAAGTAAGTAAAAACATTCTTCAAAAAGCCCTCAAACCTTTCTCTGCTACTCTTCTTCGTAGGATGTCTGTGTTGCTTTTCTCTTAGTTTACTGTTGGGAAAAAAGGAAACAAAATGCAATCATCTTATTTAGCCAACCAGAAAGAGTGACTGTGAGGAACTGAAAGAACGAGAAATATTTCAGTGTAAACTGAGAATGCAAAGGGCTTAAAATGCCGGGAAACCCATAGAGGAATCAACGTTTTGTATATGTTCTGTTCCTCATTGGTCGAGATTCAGCACGAGAGCTCTGATTGGTCGAGTAGCGATGCAAGAGGGCTTGTATTTCATTGCAATACTAAAAGCTTTTTAACTTATCAGTTTGAAAAATTGCCTATGGCATTAGAACAGATTTGCCTTTAGCGATTACTTTACACTTTGAGCTGTTAGTTATGAAAAATAGTTTAAGCTCCGTTCAAAATCGATTTTGTGCGTTTTTCCTCAGATACTAAAGGAGAGGTTTGGTATGGTGGCACCTGATGTCGAGATCGACGATGGAAAAGGTAACTTTTCTATATGTTTTTATTCACTTTTTTCCTCTTCCAGACTATCCTTTATCAAGTGTGACCAGTATTTAAGCTCGGCTAATTTTGCCCTCTTTAGTTTCCGTCCTAAAGGATCAGTGTACCTCCCATTTTCTTACAAACGAGCTAGGGTATGATGCAATTTCTGAATTTTGATTGGTTTACAGGCTATGGTCTCCTAGCTCGTATACCACGGAAATGAGAGAGTTGTAGTAAACAGGACGTGTGACGCTATTTTCTGTCTCATATTCAACGCGCGCTAACTATCACCAAAACATTTTTGAATAACTACATTATACACGCTGGATTTGACTGATGTTTTTTTTTTATTTGAGCTGGAATATATGGAAATCGATCACATGCTATGGCTTGCATTTATGAGCGGGAGAAATTAGAATATGTGCATGTGATATGTATGTTTTTCGTCTATATAGCATGTATATTTGCAGCCGTCGTTAGCAGTCATAACGCAGAGTAATCGATGTATTGACTAATTTTACTTTTTTCAGGCAGCATATTAATATCCAGTGAGGAGGGTGAAACTGTTGGTGAGTTAGATATTTAGGATTGCATGATTTGTAATTGTCTTACATAATTATGCATGCAACTTAGCAACACAACTTGAAATAAGGAAAGAAGTATACTAGTCTTGTTTCTTCTTAAAGAGAAATCATATTTTTGCAACTTATGCTGTTTATTCAGTTTCTAGTAAGCAACTCGGCCGTTCGTGTAGATGTTTAGACAGAGTAAATGTGAGCACTGAATGCGGAAAAGCTGGGACGATGCCGTGGAAATTGGAGAAAATACAAGCACTCCCGCCACACAATGTGCTTGTCGGGAAAATCAGACCAGCCACAGAAGCTTAATTTTTCTTTAATGTTAACTTTAAATAAAAGTCTTGACAAGTCTGTCTCCTGTTTTCTAGAAAATTTACCGAAGACGTTAAGGGAATTTCATGTGGGCAACATTGCGAGGTTGAAGGCGGATGATTTCCTTCAAAGTTACCAGCTTATTCTTAACGTTGTACATAGGTAGGTTGTAAAAATTTGAATATTTATCATGTAGGCTGTCTTGAGCAAAAAAAAAAAGGAATCTCAATCAATCTTGACGGTGATGGCGAAGACGTTGGTTGAAAAATTAATAGCTTTATTTTATCGAAAGAATTTTGCAATTAGCTCGATGTCTTTTCTGTCTTTAGAATTGTTCTCGGATCTCCCCATCAGTGTAAATTGTGAGGACGTCGTCGAGTTGTCAATAAAAACTTATCAAACTAAATAATTTGGGTGTTTCGAGTTGATGTTTTGGAGAACAGAAGCAGAGAACAGCTAGGAAATGTACAAAGATTTAAATGGACGTGCAGTGCTATAGTTCTGCTCCTTAAATCTTTTTTTTTTTCTTGCTCTCACCGCCGGGGTTTGCATAACGTCGCTAATATATGCTGTGGAGAACTTCGATACGGCCTTTCCTTACATAGAGAATATGCCAACTCAAGGAAACCCGTCCGATTGCGTGCTGAGCTGCAAGCCACAAGCATTTTGCGCAGTTTTGTGGCTCTGCTTGTGGTTCTGCACCTATCCCATCGGTTGAATTTTTTTTCTGATTTCTCGCTGCATCTCTGAGCTCACTTTCCAAACATGTATCAAATAACCGCTGTTAATTATAAATTTCAGAGATAACTTAGAAGACGATGTAGAATTTGAAGTAGAAGGTGATTTACCAGCACCCAAACCAGACAGTCCTGAACCGGGTCCTTCGACAGCATCAGAAGACAGACAGAATCAACCAGCAGATGGTAAGTTAATATGATAAAACCCTGTACTAAGAAATGACTTCAGTAACAATCATAAGTGCTTCAGATACCATTATCTGAGTATTATAGCTCGTGTCGTAAAATCTTCCACCTCAGTTTGCATTACACTTAAAACTACGCTTAAACGTTGATGAAAATGACCGAAGACACCTTAATGCCAATTGTTTGTTTAGTCTACCAGTATTCATGAGAGAAACACGAAATATTTTCGCGATTTTAGTAACTTGGGCCTTTCCTCACTAGCGACGAATTGGTTTATTTAGACAAATTTTCTGTCATCACCAACATTTTACAAGTGCAGATGGTTTGTCGCTGCTTGACAAATTTTGGCCGGCGCGGACAAATCTTCAGACGCACCGCCGACAAAATTCGTCCTGGGTAAAAATTTGGCAAAATCGACGAAATGAACAAAACCGTGATAAACTTGCCAATCATTTGTTGTACAACAAGCGCGTAATTATTCTGAAATCAGTTTACTAGAAAGGCCAAAATTGTCTTTTGCTGCAAAACTCGGGGATTCTAAAATTTTAAAACGACTTACGACGAGGTGGAATCTTCTGGCAACTATTCTAGTAAGTCTCATGAGCAGATCAGGCGCTGACGAAATTTGACGACTTTGAAATTTTTAATTCGGATGCAGGCCTTTGGTTTTTCTAGGACAATTCTAGTTTTTTCTGCTAGTGAGGAAAGGCCCTTATGCTAATTTCCAATTCTTAAACTATGATTGTCGATCCACTGCAGGTCTTAAAGTATTTACTCGTATCTGTTCATTAGGTGACAAAGAGGAAGTGATGGTTGTAGATGAACCAGCTCCCTCGCGGAAGAGGAAAGCCGATGAGTCAGAATTGGAGACTAGAGAGCAGCAAGACTCAAAGAGTTCAAAGCGAGCAAGACTTTCTCACGCACCGGCGGATGAAAATGACGACGACATCATTGTTCTTTGAGCCGTAAGGACAACTTCTTCTGATATCTTCCGATATTTTCCTTCTTCCGAAAAAGTTGTCCTTACGGAATCAACGGAGTTTACCTCAAGATATTTTTAATCGTCTGTTGCGCCGCGCATGACCATCTTCAACTTGAAAGTTGAAGTATAAAAGTATAGGAGAAGTTTAAAGTTTGTCGTTTAAGGCAAACGGCAAAGGTTAAACGTAAGATTTTCATTTCTGTTACTTTGTACAATGCATATTCAAAAAAGTTAAACAATATCTCTCAGCTAGGAACAAAAGTTTTGTTCCGTTTAAGATTCGCATTGATAGAGTTAAATTTTCAAATAGACTTGCTTGTCAGAAATAAATTTTAATAGTTTTATTGTTGCTGTCGCTTTCGCTTTACATTTGTTCGAAAGGAGCATTGAAATAGCGATAGAGGCCTGGAAACTCATTGAACTAGGTTCAAGTTTGCTATCGAAGGCGGGAAGATAGTTGTATTCTTATCATACCAAACAACGGCAAAGTTCTCAAGCACTCAGCTAAAAAGGGAAGATAAAGGGTTGACGGAAGCAAGTTTGCCCCGTCGCTAATTTTTGTCTATCTTGGCATTTTCTGAAACAGTTCCTTTATTCGCCTTCTATTCGCTGCGAATGTTTACAGCATTTCCATATCCTCTTAATTAGCTCGAGCGTGTCCATGTCATTACAAGTTTTCTAAGGCAGAGAGATTAATCCATTACTTCTGGTTCTGTAATGCTTTCTTATAAGTTTTTTTTCCTTTTATTTTATTACCAAGCTCAAAATTTACCATCTTTCCTCACTCTATTTACGCTCACGACACTTTCGATGTTGCTGATCCTTGGAATAAACAGGACGCGTGTCACAGACAGATGAGCCTAAATATGGCCAAGCCCACCGTAGAGAGTCTGTGGCTCAGTGATAGAGCCGCATCGGAAGATGGGATCCCTAAGCTGAGGTTAGATTCTGTCATAAGGACCCAGAATATTTTCTTAATCCAGTCTCACGCTCGCAACAAGAACATAGTTCCTTTGGGCTGTAAATAAAAGGATGTTTAATAGTGCTGGCACGTTTCTCTTAAACGATTGAAACGCGTTTAACGTACAGTGATCAAATCGGAATCTCTTCTTCCATGAGATTCACGATTTTCTTTCATTTATGACTAAAGAAAACGCCTAAATACTTCCATCAACCTAAAAAATCTCAAATAAAGTGACCCGAAAAAAATCTCAAGCAAAGTATTGTTTTTTTTAAAACAAAACGAAAAGAATTCGGCTAAGAAACAGGCGGTAACTGCTTTCCTTTCGCAACGGCTTTCAATTTATGTGCTTGAATTTCCCGCCTTCTGTTTCAATTCTCATCTGTTCACAGGTAATCGGAAGGGAATCGAAAGAAATAATATGACATATGAAACGATTAAACGATTACGGTATTCTTTGAAATGTTCAAATGTTCCCTAAAACACCGACTCGGAATACAAAGAAGCCCTCCGCGGTAGTTACTTTGAGTTTTGCCGGCCTAGGCTTTTTTTTTTTTTTTTTTTTTTGCTGATTTTTATTGTTCAGGCGGGAAGTTTTGAAACTTCGTTAAATAAACTTCAAAGATCTTCGGCTCGGAAAATTTTAAGCGTTGTTCCTTTTACAAGATTTTTTGAAGAACTCGAGAATAAGAAACTGAAATCAACTAAATTGAAATTTCCCGTTTAATATTTTGCTGATTGAACGATTTATTATTTTGACTTCGTCCAGCGGAAAAGAAATCGAAGTCGGAATTGTCTACTTTCATAAAATGTTACTAATTGCAGAAATAATTTAATCAAAGCTAAATCGTATCTCTTTAAGAGCGTAAACTGAGTAACTGAACTTATCAACAATGGGCAGAGATCATGAACCTTTCGTGTGTAATGCCGCGAATGACACGGACTTTTTAAGCACAAAAACAAACTTAAATTCATTCTGTCTCTCAGAGAGCTTGCCGCACCGACAAAGGAAAAAGTATTTTCTGCTTTGTGTTAAGTGTATACTTTTAATGAAAGCGCAAGCCTTTTTGAAGTGGATTCGATTATCGGTCAATCGAAGTTTAGTACAGCCTATTCAGGCGGTGCGCGCCATTTCGCCGAGCGGTACCCCTGACCGCCAATTAGCAGGTTCAATATAAAGAAGTACAGGATTGGCCACCACTAGCGGCATGAATAGAAGGAATATTTTCATTGGTCAAATACTTAGGAAGGCTTTGATCATTGAGTAAGCGCGCAGCCTTGATATATAAAGAGGGAAATGGCTACATCGTTGCTTTCATACTGATCGTATACATCTCGATCGTGGCAAGTCTTCGACATTTTACAACCTTATAATATTTTAGTATCGGTTTGGAGTAGCTTGATTCCCTTAACGTGGTATTAGTTTGCGATGGCGAAGAGAAATAGAAACTTGGTTTCGAGCATCATGGCATCCCAAGTCTCTGGAAAATGCATTAGAACAAACATGGTAGGTTCGATTCTTCTGTCAGATTCGAATTTGAGAGGTGATTCGGTGCTGATATTCTCGTTTCGTTCTTCCAGCTTCCTAAAGATTTCATAGAAGATGTGGATCGCCGTTTGAATTTTAAGGAGATACCTGTTATTTTGGCGAAATTAGAACGACATAGCAGTCTCCAGAGGTTTAATTTCTCGAAGTGTATGAGATACATAGAGGTAGGGGTTCGATTTTACACCGTAATTCATTGAGCTAAGGGATTATTTCTACTGCTCATTACATTAGCTAAATTGCGTTGTAAATATATATTCTGTTTCTCGATATCAGTCAATCTATTCGAGCTTGTTAAGAAACGACACTACAAATGCAATTGTTTGTGTAGTGACTTTGACGTGGTTACTCTATTAAGGTCTTCGATTTGACTGTGAAGTGTTTTTCTCTCTCAAAATCCACGATATTTCTGTCTTAGGAACTTTCACACTTCTTCACGGAGACGATGAGTGTATCAGAGATGTTTTACAGCGAAAACGAACTTCCAGTTTATACGAAGGAGAGAGCTCGAATTGGTCAAGTTTTAAATTTATTCGGTGGAGTGGAGGTAAGCCATGTTGTGAATCTGTTTTGTTTATTTCAACTTTGAAGTCAGTCGATTTTGTCTACTACTCGTTCAGATGGATTTTCATAGTAGAAGTATTTGGTAGGCTATGCAAAAAATGTACTCCACTATCACTGTTTTAGAAGTCGATTAACACGCTGTGTTTCCGAAAGATTTCAACACCATTTTAAAATATTTGAAGCACTCGAAGGTGCTAAAAATGCGAACAGGATTTCACTCATTATTCGACGAGAGTTCATCGTGGAAGTCGCCTTCTATCTGTATTTGGGAATCACCCTTGTGAAATATGTTCTCGAATTAGACACATTACTAAGAACCCTTAACCGGGTCAAACTACTAGGATTTTTCCGTTTCAGTGCCCGTAGCTGGTATTGTTAAGCTCTTTCAGGAAGAATTTTCAGTCTTGAACAGCTGTTGTGGGCATATTTGTCTCTTGTTCCTTGTTGTTTTTGTTCGAAATAGCGTTCAATTTTTGCTTCCTGTTTCAAGGTGGTGTCAATGGGTCAGACTAAATGTCTTACGCCTACTTCCGGTTAAGTTTCTTTATTGTGAGATCAACCGTGCTCACTAAAACCTTATACAGCTGTTCAGCCGCTTGTTACTTAGTCTTTACTTTGTTTTTGACAGATTGTGGTGCAAATCCTTTTTTATCCTGTTACTTATGGCTTCAAGCTTTGCAAGTTGAAACCATCAAGTAAGCTAACTAAATGTATATAGTAGATATTTCGATTATCCAAGTAATATTGATGCTTTTAAGAATTGCTTCCAAACTTATGTTGGACCCATGTCTGAGTTGCTTTTAGACTTTCGTCTTTACTTTTTGTCGTTATTGTTGTTTTTCACATATCGTGACCCTATCATGTGATTTGAATAAACAAGAATAAAGGAATAATTCACGCAAGATCTGACTTGAAGAGTTGTGCAAATGTTTATAGAAATGTTTTGTTCTTGATCACGTAGGACTGCAGCAAACAGAATTGTACCTAGGATGTCTTGATTTCATCCATAACATTTGTCTAGTGGTAAGTGCAATTCTTCAAAGTCCTTCAAAGTGTTTTTGTGTTTATCTGCTTTGAATACCATGATCAACACCATATTTTACTAAACCTATAAATACGTCAGCAACGATACTGAAATCAAGTTTGTTCTTGACAAATCACCAGATTTTTACAAAGCGTCATAAAGATTTTCATGGCAGCCTGGGGACAAATTTAATATAACCATCAAGTTGTATTAGATTTTAATGCATTGTTTTCCTTGCCTTTTTTCTTGAACAGGTTGATGGAGTTGCTGTTAATTTAGCAAAGAGAAATGAATTGATTAGTCATTTGTTCACTCTCCTGGAACAAAAGAAAACCTTTTCGTGAGTCTTATTTCATTTACTTAATAATATTATTATTAATGTTATTTTTCATTATTAATATTAATGAAGGGTAATTCAGTTCATAGACTCAAACTTTTTCTAGTCTTTTTTCCTTCTGGTTTTTTTTTTTTTTTTTTTTTTCAGGTTTTCTTTTATTATTTATTTTTTGGGTTATAATTTTTTTCTTTTATATTGCAGCCGTGCCTTGGTAGTATTAGAAGATCTTTTTGGTTCCAGAAAAGAAATTATCGATTTAGACAGGATTGGTATGTTAACTCTAAAAAATTTTCCTCAGTAAATAGACACCATCTTAGCTGGTCATTGGTAAAATTGTAGTTGTTGCTAGAACTCCTATAAATTTATATTGTTCTATTTTTCCTTTTTTTCAGTAAATATGAGAAAACTGATAAACATCTTAGATCAGAAACAACTGGGGAACTTTTGTCGTGTTTTGTCATTTACCTTGTCAGATTTGGAATCTGTAGAGGAGAGAAGTACATGTGAGTATTGTTATTGAATTCATTCCTCAAGGCTGGTTTGAAACATTTCCTGTATAGCCATTTCCAATCAGTCAAGCATCTTATGTCTATTGTAATTAAACACAATTGATAACCAACATTGCATACTTCTGATAGTGCTTGCCCAGGATGAAGTTGACAGAAAGGGAATGTCACAGAAGGATGTTGCAGATAACAATCAAGGTATTTTTTTTCTACTTTCTAGCTGTAAATTTTTAACTTTTGATCAAACATATGAAGCAATATATGAAGTTCATAAGTAAGAGCAAGACAGGCTGATGTTTTAAAGTTATTTTGTTTGAAAATGTACTGTGCAAGGCTTTTCACTTTATAAATTATCAATCACAGAAAAGACAGTACATAGGGTAGCCAATTAAATGACTGTATTAGTGATGGAAAGCTATTAGGCTATCAGACTATCACTTGGAAATAAAAAGAGTTATTAAAACTATTATAACTATGTCACTGCTGGTTGAAATATAAATTTGATTTTATTTTAGGTTTTGGGGAGTAAACTTAAGTTTTATATTTATGTTTCTGCTGCAGCAACACTCATAGGTTTAAAGGAATTTCTTCCAAGGATAGTGAGATTAGCATGTCAGCCAATGGGTAAGATTTCATGTTTTTCATGATTTTTGATTAATTTTTATCAACAATTAGAAAACAAATATATTTTGAATATATTTTTCAAATACATTTTTCAAATATATTTTTCAAGTACCTCACTGAGATTATCCTGATTAGTTGATCACATGAGATTAATTTTCATTTTTTGTAGTAGAGAGATCTTCCCATTTCCTGGATATGGTGGATTTCCAAACATTCTTACAAGATGTCTTTATGTCAGAAGGGCTTGATTTAGGTAAGGAATCTCAATATTTAGCATATATTCTCTGTTTAAAAACTGAGATTCTCTTTTCAATGCAAGTTTCATCCAAGTTTTCTTGCTGTGGATCAAGCCCTGTATGCAACCATTACCATAATTTCACTGACATGGTTGATTTCCTTCTCCGTTCAGAATCAGATGAGCATGAATCATTAGGGCATAGAACACTACGATCTTCCTTTAGCCATATACAAGGTCACATACATGAGGTTTGTATAATGTCAATCTTTACAGTAACACATGTGGTGTTCAGTTGCACAGACAAGACATGTAGCCTTTTTATAATTGCTTAAGATGTGCTATTGATTGGTCACTCATAAGAGTTAAAGGGTTGAGAAGAGAAATTATTTCAGTTCCTCCACTTGTCGTTTTTTTTATTTAAATTTTCTCAATGCACACACGATCATGTTCGATAACTACTGCTTTCTCTTTTTGTTAGGTTACTGTCTTCTTAAACACAGAAACTCTTACAATCAAGACGTTAGAGGAAAAAGTAAGTAAAAACATTCTTCAAAAAGCCCTCAAACCTTTCTCTGCTACTCTTCTTCGTAGGATGTCTGTGTTGCTTTTCTCTTAGTTTACTGTTGGGAAAAAAGGAAACAAAATGCAATCATCTTATTTAGCCAACCAGAAAGAGTGACTGTGAGGAACTGAAAGAATGAGAAATATTTCAGTGTAAACTGAGAATGCAAAGGGCTTAAAGTGCCGGGAAACCCATAGAGGAATCAACGTTTTGTATATGTTCTGTTCCTCATTGGTCGAGATTCAGCACGAGAGCTCTGATTGGTCGAGTAGCGATGCAAGAGGGCTTGTATTTCATTGCAATACTAAAAGCTTTTTAACTTATCAGTTTGAAAAATTGCCTATGGCATTAGAACATATTTGCCTTTAGCGATTACTTTACCCTTTGAGCTGTTAGTTATGAAATATAGTTTAGGCTCCGTTCAAAATCGATTTTGTGCGTTTTTCCTCAGATACTAAAGGAGAGGTTTGGTATGGTGGCACCTGATGTCGAGATCGACGATGGAAAAGGTAACTTTTCTCTATGTTTTTATTCACTTTTTTTCCTCTTCCAGACTATCCTTGATCAAGTGTGACCAGTATTTCAGCTCGGCTAATTTTGCCCTCTTCAGTTTCCGTCCTAAAGGATCAGTGTACCTCCCATTTTCTTACAAACGAGCTAGGGTATGATGCAATTTCTGAATTTTGATTGGTTTACAGGCTATGGTCTCCTAGCTCGTATACCACGGAAATGAGAGAGTTGTAGTAAACAGGACGTGTGACGCTATTTTCTGTCTCATATTCAACGCGCACTAACTATCACCAAAACATTTTTGAATAACTACATTATACACGCTGGATTTGACTGATGTTTTTTTTTTTTTTCTTTATGGGAGAATATATGGAAATCGATCACATGCTATGGCTTGCATTTATGAGCGGGAGAAACTAGAATATGTGCATGTGATATGTATGTTTTTCGTCTATATAACATGTATATTTGCAGCCGTCGTTAGCAGCCATAACGCATAGTAATCGATGTATTGACTAATTTTACTTTTTCCAGGCAGCATATTAATATCCAGTGAGGAGGGTGAAACTGACGGTGAGTTAGACATTTAGGATTGCATGATTTTTAATTGTCTAACATAATTATGCATGCAACTTAGCAACACAACTTGAAATAAGGAAAGAAGTATACTAGTCTTGTTTCTTCTTAACTTGAACCAAGCAAATGGGAAAAGATTAGTCATAAATAGAGGAAACCCATCGGAAAATATAATATGTTTAAAGAGAAATCATATTTTTGCAACTTATGCTGTTTATTCAGTGTCTAGTAAGCAACTCGGCCGTTCGTGTAGATGTTTAGACAGAGTAAATGTGAGCACTAAATGCGGAAAAGCTGGGACGATGCCGAGGAAATCTGAGAGGATACAAGCACTCCCGCCACACAATGTGCTTGTCGGGAAAATCAGACCAGCCACAGAAGCTTAATTTTTTTTAATGTTAACTTTAAATAAAAGCCTTGACAAGTCTGTCTCCTGTTTTCTAGAAAATTTACCGAAGACGTTAAGGGAATTCCATGTGGGTAACAGTGCGAGGTTGAAGGCGGATGATTTCCTTCAAAGTTACCAGCTTATTCTTAACGTTGTACATAGGTAGGTTGTAAAAATTTGAATATTTATCATGTAGGATGTCTTGAGCAAAAATAGGAATCTCAATCGATCTTGACGGTGATGGCGAAGACGTTTGTTGAAAAATTAATAGCTTTATTTTATCGAAAGAATTTTGCAATTAGCTCGATGTCTTTTCTGTCTTTAGAATTGTTCTCGGATCTCCCCATCAGTGTAAAGTGTGAGGACGTCGTCGAGTTGTCAATAAAAACGTATCAAACTAAATAATTTGGGTGTTTCGAGTTGATGTTTTGGAGAACAGAAGCAGAGAACAGCTAGGAAATGTACAAAGATTTAAATGGACGTGCAGTGCTATAGTTCTGCTCCTTAAATCTTTTTTTTTCTTTCCTGCTCTCACCGCCGGGGTTTGCATAACGTCGCTAATATATGCTGTGGAGAACTTCGATACGGCCTTTCCTTACATAGAGAATATGCCAACTCAAGGAACCCGTCCGATTGCGTGCTGAGTTGCGAGCCACAAGCATTTTTGTGGCTCTGCTTGTGGCTCTGCACCTATCCCATCGGTTCAATTTTTTTTCTGATTTCTCGCTGCATCTGTGAGCTCACTTTCCAAACATGTATCAAATAACTGCTGTTAATTATAAATTTCAGAGATAATTTAGAAGACGATGTAGAATTTGAAGTAGAAGGTGATTTACCAGCACCCAAACCAGACAGTCCTGAACCGGGTCCTTCGACAGCATCAGAAGACAGACAGAATCAACCAGCAGATGGTAAGTTAATATGATAAAACCCTGTAATAAGAAATGACTTCAGTATCAATCATAAGTGCTTCAGATACCATTATCTGAGTATTATAGCTCGTGTCGTAAAATCTTCCACCTCAGTTTGTATTACACTTAAAACTACGTTTAAACGTTGATGAAAATGACCGAAGACACCTTAATGCGAATTGTTTGTTTAGTCTACCGGTGTTCATGAAAGAAACACGAAATATCTTCGCGATTTTAGTAACTTGGGCCTTTCCTCACTAGCGACAAAGTTGTTTATTTAGACAAATTTTCTGTCATCACCAACATTTTACAAGTGCAGATGGTTTGTCGCTGCTTGACAAATTTTGGCCAGCGCGGACAAATCTTCAGACGCACCGCCGACAAAATTCGTTCTGGGTAAAAATTTGGCAAAATCGATGAAATGAACAAAACCGTGATAGACTTGCCAATCATTTGTTGTACAACAAACGCGTAATTATTCTGAAATCAAAGAAAGGCCAAAATTGTCTTTTGCTGCAAAACTCGGGGATTCTAAAATTTTAAAACGACTTACGATAAATCCTGGAAATTGGAGGTGGAATCCTCTGGCAACTATTCTAGCAGGTCTCATGAGCAGATCAGGCGCTGACGAAATTTGACGGCTTTGAAATTTTTAATGCGGATGCGGGCCTTTGATTTTTCTAGGACAATTCTAGTTTTTTCTGCTAGTGAGGAAAGGCCCTTATGCTAATTTCCAACTCTTAAACTATGATTGTCGATCCACTGCAGGTCTTAAAGTATTTACTCGTATCTGTTCAGTAGGTGATAAAGAGGAAGTGATGGTTGTAGATGAACCAGCTCCCTCGCGGAAGAGGAAAGCCGATGAGTCAGAATTGGAGGCTAGAGAGCAGCAAGACTCAAAGAGTTCAAAGCGAGCAAGACTTTCTCACGCACCGGCGGATGAAAATGATGACGACATCATTGTTCTTTGAGCCGTAAGGACAACTTCATCCGATATCTTCCGATATTTTCCTTCTTCCAAAAAAGTTGTGCTTACGGAATCAACGGAGTTTACCTCAAGATATTTTTAATCATCTGTTGCGCCGCGCATGACCATCTTCAACTTGAAAGTTGAAATATAAAAGTATAGGAGAAGTTTAAAGTTTGTCGTTTGAGGCAAACGGCAAAGGTTAAACGTAAGATTTTCATTTCTGTTACTTTGTACAATGCATATTCAAAAAAGTTAAACAATATCTCTTAGCTAGGAACAAAAGTTTTGTTCCGTTTAAGATTCGCATTGATAGAGTTAAATTTTCAAATAGACTTGCTTGTCAGAAATAAATTTTAATAGTTTTATTGTTGCTGTTGCTTTCGCTTTACATTTGTTCGAAAGGAGCATTGAAATAGCGATAGAGGCCTGGAAACTCATTGAACTAGGTTCAAGTTTGCTATCGAAGGCGGGAAGATAGTTGTATTCTTATCATACCAAACAACGGCAAAGTTCTCAAGCACTCAGCTAAAAAGGGAAGATAAAGGGTTGACGGAAGCAAGTTTGCCCCGTCGCTAATTTTTGTCTATCTTGGCATTTTCTGAAACAGTTCCTTTATTCGCCTTCTATTCGCTGCGAATGTTTACAGCATTTCCATATCCTCTTAATTAGCTCGAGCGTGTCCATGTCATTACAAGTTTTCTAACGGAGAGATTAATCCATTACTTCTGGTTCTGTAATGCTTTCTCGTAAGTCTCTTTTCCTTTTATTTCATTACCAAGCTCAAAATTTACCATCTTTCCTCACTCTATTTACGCTCACGACACTTTCGATGTTGCTGATCCTTGGAATAAACAGGACGCGTGTCACAGACAGATGAGCCTAAATATGGCCAAGCCCACCGTAGAGAGTCTGTGGCTCAGTGATAGAGCCGCATCGGAAGATGGGATCCCTAAGCTGAGGTTAGATTCTGTCATAAGGACCCAGAATATTTTCTTAATCCAGTCTCACGCTCGCAACAAGAACATAGTTCCTTTGGGCTGTAAATAAAAGGATGTTTAATAGTGCTGGCACGTTTCTCTTAAACGATTGAAACGCGTTTAACGTACAGTGATCAAATCGGAATCTCTTCTTCCATGAGATTCACGATTTTCTTTCATTTATGACTAAAGAAAACGCCTAAATACTTCCATCAACCTAAAAAATCTCAAATAAAGTGACCCGAAAAAAATCTCAAGCAAAGTATTGTTTTTTTTAAAACAAAACGAAAAGAATTCGGCTAAGAAACAGGCGGTAACTGCTTTCCTTTCGCAACGGCTTTCAATTTATGTGCTTGAATTTCCCGCCTTCTGTTTCAATTCTCATCTGTTCACAGGTAATCGGAAGGGAATCGAAAGAAATAATATGACATATGAAACGATTAAACGATTACGGTATTCTTTGAAATGTTCAAATGTTCCCTAAAACACCGACTCAGAATACAAAGAAGCCCTCCGCGGTAGTTACTTTGAGTTTTGCCGGCCTAGGCTTTTTTTTTTTTTTTTTTGCTGATTTTTATTGTTCAGGCGGGAAGTTTTGAAACTTCGTTAAATAAACTTCAAAGATCTTCGGCTCGGAAAATTTTAAGCGTTGTTCCTTTTACAAGATTTTTTGAAGAACTCGAGAATAAGAAACTGAAATCAACTAAATTGAAATTTCCCGTTTAATATTTTGCTGATTGAACGATTTATTATTTTGACTTCGTCCAGCGGAAAAGAAATCGAAGTCGGAATTGTCTACTTTCATAAAATGTTACTAATTGCAGAAATAATTTAATCAAAGCTAAATCGTATCTCTTTAAGAGCGTAAACTGAGTAACTGAACTTATCAACAATGGGCAGAGATCATGAACCTTTCGTGTGTAATGCCGCGAATGACACGGACTTTTTAAGCACAAAAACAAACTTAAATTCATTCTGTCTCTCAGAGAGCTTGCCGCACCGACAAAGGAAAAAGTATTTTCTGCTTTGTGTTAAGTGTATACTTTTAATGGAAGCGCAAGCCTTTTTGAAGTGGATTCGATTATCGGTCAATCGAAGTTTAGTACAGCCTATTCAGGCGGTGCGCGCCATTTCGCCGAGCGGTACCCCTGACCGCCAATTAGCAGGTTCAATATAAAGAAGTACAGGATTGGCCACCACTAGCGGCATGAATAGAAGGAATATTTTCATTGGTCAAATACTTAGGAAGGCTTTGATCATTGAGTAAGCGCGCAGCCTTGATATATAAAGAGGGAAATGGCTACATCGTTGCTTTCATACTGATCGTATACATCTCGATCGTGGCAAGTCTTCGACATTTTACAACCTTATAATATTTTAGTATCGGTTTGGAGTAGCTTGATTCCCTTAACGTGGTATTAGTTTGCGATGGCGAAGAGAAATAGAAACTTGGTTTCGAGCATCATGGCATCCCAAGTCTCTGGAAAATGCATTAGAACAAACATGGTAGGTTCGATTCTTCTGTCAGATTCGAATTTGAGAGGTGATTCGGTGCTGATATTCTCGTTTCGTTCTTCCAGCTTCCTAAAGATTTCATAGAAGATGTGGATCGCCGTTTGAATTTTAAGGAGATACCTGTTATTTTGGCGAAATTAGAACGACATAGCAGTCTCCAGAGGTTTAATTTCTCGAAGTGTATGAGATACATAGAGGTAGGGGTTCGATTTTACACCGTAATTCATTGAGCTAAGGGATTATTTCTACTGCTCATTACATTAGCTAAATTGCGTTGTAAATATATATTCTGTTTCTCGATATCAGTCAATCTATTCGAGCTTGTTAAGAAACGACACTACAAATGCAATTGTTTGTGTAGTGACTTTGACGTGGTTACTCTATTAAGGTCTTCGATTTGACTGTGAAGTGTTTTTCTCTCTCAAAATCCACGATATTTCTGTCTTAGGAACTTTCACACTTCTTCACGGAGACGATGAGTGTATCAGAGATGTTTTACAGCGAAAACGAACTTCCAGTTTATACGAAGGAGAGAGCTCGAATTGGTCAAGTTTTAAATTTATTCGGTGGAGTGGAGGTAAGCCATGTTGTGAATCTGTTTTGTTTATTTCAACTTTGAAGTCAGTCGATTTTGTCTACTACTCGTTCAGATGGATTTTCATAGTAGAAGTATTTGGTAGGCTATGCAAAAAATGTACTCCACTATCACTGTTTTAGAAGTCGATTAACACGCTGTGTTTCCGAAAGATTTCAACACCATTTTAAAATATTTGAAGCACTCGAAGGTGCTAAAAATGCGAACAGGATTTCACTCATTATTCGACGAGAGTTCATCGTGGAAGTCGCCTTCTATCTGTATTTGGGAATCACCCTTGTGAAATATGTTCTCGAATTAGACACATTACTAAGAACCCTTAACCGGGTCAAACTACTAGGATTTTTCCGTTTCAGTGCCCGTAGCTGGTATTGTTAAGCTCTTTCAGGAAGAATTTTCAGTCTTGAACAGCTGTTGTGGGCATATTTGTCTCTTGTTCCTTGTTGTTTTTGTTCGAAATAGCGTTCAATTTTTGCTTCCTGTTTCAAGGTGGTGTCAATGGGTCAGACTAAATGTCTTACGCCTACTTCCGGTTAAGTTTCTTTATTGTGAGATCAACCGTGCTCACTAAAACCTTATACAGCTGTTCAGCCGCTTGTTACTTAGTCTTTACTTTGTTTTTGACAGATTGTGGTGCAAATCCTTTTTTATCCTGTTACTTATGGCTTCAAGCTTTGCAAGTTGAAACCATCAAGTAAGCTAACTAAATGTATATAGTAGATATTTCGATTATCCAAGTAATATTGATGCTTTTAAGAATTGCTTCCAAACTTATGTTGGACCCATGTCTGAGTTGCTTTTAGACTTTCGTCTTTACTTTTTGTCGTTATTGTTGTTTTTCACATATCGTGACCCTATCATGTGATTTGAATAAACAAGAATAAAGGAATAATTCACGCAAGATCTGACTTGAAGAGTTGTGCAAATGTTTATAGAAATGTTTTGTTCTTGATCACGTAGGACTGCAGCAAACAGAATTGTACCTAGGATGTCTTGATTTCATCCATAACATTTGTCTAGTGGTAAGTGCAATTCTTCAAAGTCCTTCAAAGTGTTTTTGTGTTTATCTGCTTTGAATACCATGATCAACACCATATTTTACTAAACCTATAAATACGTCAGCAACGATACTGAAATCAAGTTTGTTCTTGACAAATCACCAGATTTTTACAAAGCGTCATAAAGATTTTCATGGCAGCCTGGGGACACATGTAATATAACCATCAAGTTGTATTAGATTTTAATGCATTGTTTTCCTTGCCTTTTTCCTTGAACAGGTTGATGGAGTTGCTGTTAATTTAGCAAAGAGAAATGAATTGATTAGTCATTTGTTCACTCTCCTGGAACAAAAGAAAACCTTTTCGTGAGTCTTATTTCATTTACTTAATAATATTATTATCAATGTTATTTTTCATTATTAATATTAATGAAGGGTAATTCAGTTCATAGACTCAAACTTTTTCTAGTCTTTTTTCCTTCTGGTTTTTTTTTTTTTTTTTTTTTCAGGTTTTCTTTTATTATTTATTTTTTGGGTTATAATTTTTTTTTATATATTGCAGCCGTGCCTTGGTAGTATTAGAAGATCTTTTTGGTTCCAGAAAAGAAATTATCGATTTAGACAGGATTGGTATGTTAACTCTAAAAAATTTTCCTCAGTAAATAGACACCATCTTAGCTGGTCATTGGTAAAATTGTAGTTGTTGCTAGAACTCCTATAAATTTATATTGTTCTATTTTTCCTTTTTTTCAGTAAATATGAGAAAACTGATAAACATCTTAGATCAGAAACAACTGGGGAACTTTTGTCGTGTTTTGTCATTTACCTTGTCAGATTTGGAATCTGTAGAGGAGAGAAGTACATGTGAGTATTGTTATTGAATTCATTCCTCAAGGCTGGTTTGAAACATTTCCTGTATAGCCATTTCCAATCAGTCAAGCATCTTATGTCTATTGTAATTAAACACAATTGATAACCAACATTGCATACTTCTGATAGTGCTTGCCCAGGATGAAGTTGACAGAAAGGGAATGTCACAGAAGGATGTTGCAGATAACAATCAAGGTATTTTTTTTCTACTTTCTAGCTGTAAATTTTTAACTTTTGATCAAACATATGAAGCAATATATGAAGTTCATAAGTAAGAGCAAGACAGGCTGATGTTTTAAAGTTATTTTGTTTGAAAATGTACTGTGCAAGGCTTTTCACTTTATAAATTATCAATCACAGAAAAGACAGTACATAGGGTAGCCAATTAAATGACTGTATTAGTGATGGAAAGCTATTAGGCTATCAGACTATCACTTGGAAATAAAAAGAGTTATTAAAACTATTATAACTATGTCACTGCTGGTTGAAATATAAATTTGATTTTATTTTAGGTTTTGGGGAGTAAACTTAAGTTTTATATTTATGTTTCTGCTGCAGCAACACTCATAGGTTTAAAGGAATTTCTTCCAAGGATAGTGAGATTAGCATGTCAGCCAATGGGTAAGATTTCATGTTTTTCATGATTTTTGATTAATTTTTATCAACAATTAGAAAACAAATATATTTTGAATATATTTTTCAAATACATTTTTCAAATATATTTTTCAAGTACCTCACTGAGATTATCCTGATTAGTTGATCACATGAGATTAATTTTCATTTTTTGTAGTAGAGAGATCTTCCCATTTCCTGGATATGGTGGATTTCCAAACATTCTTACAAGATGTCTTTATGTCAGAAGGGCTTGATTTAGGTAAGGAATCTCAATATTTAGCATATATTCTCTGTTTAAAAACTGAGATTCTCTTTTCAATGCAAGTTTCATCCAAGTTTTCTTGCTGTGGATCAAGCCCTGTATGCAACCATTACCATAATTTCACTGACATGGTTGATTTCCTTCTCCGTTCAGAATCAGATGAGCATGAATCATTAGGGCATAGAACACTACGATCTTCCTTTAGCCATATACAAGGTCACATACATGAGGTTTGTATAATGTCAATCTTTACAGTAACACATGTGGTGTTCAGTTGCACAGACAAGACATGTAGCCTTTTTATAATTGCTTAAGATGTGCTATTGATGACAAATTCCAGTTAAATTCTAATGTCCAACATGATTGACTGGAAAGCTTATGAAGAGCTGGTTCAGTTGTTTTCATTTTTCTTTAAATTGTGGTATTGTTTTTCTTACATCTTTAGGTGATGCACAAAGTGGAGGTCTTCTATGTTCTCTGTTTGTTTTTGACTGGAAAGCACAAGTTGATTGTAAGTTGAAATTTTCATTATAACAAAAGTTTTAAGGTAGACAGACAGTTGACAGAGTTTCGTTCAAAGAACTGAGCACAGAGATACCTGTATGATCTTAAAATAGAAGTTGACAGTTTACATACAGTCTGGTACAGAGAGTAGTCCTTCATTGCAGGGATATTAATTTCTCTTTCATTATTTTATCTTATAATTATTTATTTATTTTCAATCTTTGCTACAGGTTCAGAAGAAGCTGTCAGAAATGAGACTGATTCCAGGAATGAGCCAGTTATTTGACAAAATGTCATGGCTGAACGAAACAGAAAGAATGTAAGCATATGTACTATGCTTTTAACCCTTTAACTAAGTGATGAGAATATAGAAAAATATCAGTCAGGGGAATATAAGCTGATCCAATACCAAATTCTCCAAACTAATAACATAAGAACTGTAAGGCAGACAGTAAGGAGAATTACTAATGAGATCTTGGGAGTTAAAGGGTCGACTTTTTTACTTTTTTGAGTGTACTTGAAGACATAACTGACATTGCGCAAAAACTTTATCAGAATTAAAATCATGTTTGATGTAACTCTGTATCAATTGGTGAATGTGTTGGTCTTATTTTTATTTTGTTGTAAAAAATCTTAATTTATATTTCACTAAGGAACATGTAAGTACCAGGTACAGTTAAAAGAGGCCAAAAAAGCGCATTTAAATGATGCAATGTTCCTCATTCTCTAGGAATCAAGATTTAATGGACTTAGAGATTGCAGATCATGAGTGTACACCGGTAAGACCACAATTTGCTATTAATTTTTAGATGTTATTGACAAAATGATATAAATGTTAAAGCACATTTTTATTGATTTCTTTTGTCCATGAGGCTAACATTCTCATTGGTTCAACATATTTCAGCAAACCGCATTGAAGATTCAGTTCCTACGACTAGTTCACAGTTTCTGTGACAGACATGAGTAAGTTTATTTTGTTTTCTTATAAAAGACAGTTTTATGAGTAGTATTTGTTTATCTTTAATTCAAAATTGACCTTTTTTGTCTTTTTGTAGGAATAAGCATCTTCTTTTAACACCTAGGGAAGTTGATGAACTTCAAGAGTTGTATGGTAAGTTGGGCTTCCAAGTTGACAGTTAATTCTCTTTACTACAGCCAAGTGTTTCTTTAATTAAATGATTTTAGCTTTGAGGTTTTGGTGTTGGGTCAAACCATACCCACAGTTGATATTACTTGTTTTCTCATCACCTTTCTGCACAACTATTTACTGATATTGTAAGGAATAATAACTTATTGGTCATCTATTAGAGTGAATGGTTTGGAGAAATTTAACCATAAGGAACTGTAGTATGATTGTGCATGACATTTTTTTTCTTTTCTTTCTCGTTTTCTCAGTTCAAAATGACCTTGAACTCCCTGAGAGTTTGACAAACACTAACAGGTTTGTGATTTTTAAATTTTTTGTCTAAAAATTACATTTATACATTTAGGAAGATATTTTGATTTCTTGGTTGTGTGTCCTTTTTGAAGAAGAAGCTAATTAATTATACAGTTTTTCTTTCTCTTTGGTCATCAGCTATTAACAACTATTAATATTTTTAATCTTACAGAAAATTGTGTTGTACTGGAGAAAAAGGACTTCTTTCAAAAATTCTAGAAACACTGATCAGATGTCCCCCTACTGCTCCACTTAGGTAAGTTAGCCTGTGATCCCAGTAATTGGGTCATAAGCTTCAAATTCCTTCCTACAATGTCACCTCTGAATCACACGAGAATAAAGGAAAGGATAACTTAAGAAGTTGTTGATCATTATACAAATTCTCCTTGTGGCACCTTAGGAAAAATATTGAGAACTGTATGAAAAATATGGCTACTGATCATAGCAAACTTATAGGTCTGTGGTTTGGTTCCTCTTTAATTCAAAATTTTACTATCTTTCCTCTTATGTACTGATTATTTCCCTGTTCAGGTTCCCACTGCCAGCGAAATCAAGTTGCCTGTTGGGTTCATCTCACTTCTATGTCAAATTTTCCCTTAGGTTTTGGCTGTCAAGAGCAATTGAGGGATTTCTTCGTGGCAGAGCATCAGTTGGCGATCAGCTGTTTCTCATCAAAAGAGGCCTTCTTGAGGTAAGTTTTTCCCTGATTAATCTCATTAACAACATATGAAAGTACCCAAGAGCTGGTTAACCCTTTAACCCCTAAAAGTGACTAGCATCTAATTTCTCCTTAGAATCACCCCTCAATGAAATGTTAAGGTCATGAGAATGAAGGAAATGATCACCAATGTTTGTCATGATTCAAGGAAATAATTCATTATTCTTCTCTTTTCAGCACCTTGTTGATCACATCACAAGTGAGGAACTGAAACCAAAAGAGATTCTTCAAAGTAGCTTTGATCTTCTGGGAGAGTTAATGAAGTTTAATCAATTTGCCTTCATAAGATTTGATCAGGCAATCAGTACAAAACAGGTGAGTAAACTTGTGATTAATTTTGATAAATGAAAACAGTTTTTCTACTAATTTTTTTTGTTGTTTATCAATAATTTCTTTGGTGTGTGAGGTGGTTTTTTTGTGAACATTTTTAAATTTAAGGTAATTAGGTTTATGTTATTTTTATAGTTTTAGTCCATCATTAATTTTACTGTATTGATTTGCAGTTTGAGAAGTTTGTTGGCATCTTGACATCAAATGTTGTGGATTCCAACATGTTGATTCGCTGTTTGGTGCTTTCTCAGGAACATTTTTTGTCAAGTCCTTTGGCAGGTAAAGCTCAGAATTTTTTGTATCCTGGTCAGAACTGTTTCATTCTTACAATTAATCACTGAGTTGTTGGTGACTCATGTTTTCATGTCTCATGTTGTATTCCTCTCTTTACAAAAGATTTTACAGCTGGAGCTTTCAAGCTTGGTTCACTTATTAGCAACTGGGAACAGATGATCTTCCTTCTCTACAAGCTGATCAACTCCATTACTGTGGGAACACTGACACAAGTAAGTGTTTTTGAGATAAGTCCAAGTGACAGAAATTGTTGTTTTCACAAATCAATTATACTTGGAACAATGTCCTGACTCCAAAATGGCTGAGTTATAATGAAACAAAATTGATATGATGAAATTTTGTTTCACTGAAAACTAAAGACTAAACTGCTTGTACAGTTCAATCTTACCTTGATCATTTTTATGTTGTGAAGCTTTGCTGTTCTTAGAACTGAGGCACCTTGAGTTATGGATAGAGCAAGATTGATAACAGACTTATCAATCATCATTTGTTTTCCTTCTCTCTCAGGAAAATGTCAGCTGCCTCAACACAACCCTTGTTTTCTTGATGTTTGCACACAGACATGGGAAACTTCCAGCATATCTTATGGTAAGTCAGTTGATCATATTTTCTGTTGGGTGATTGATACTTTTGTGCAGAATATGTAATTAAAAAATTCTTCTTTTTTAAAGCTTTTGCACCCTAACATCAGTGTGCATATTCTCCTTACTATTTTCCTATACATTTTTATTTACCTGATAAGGAGAAATTTTTTTGGCAGTCAAGAGGTCCTTTAATTGGCGACCTTAAGGTCTCATGACCTTAATGTTTGACTATTATAAGGAGAAACTGGAGTTAGAGTTCTCAATTTGTTGGAGCCAGAGTTCTCCCAATTTATTCACTTGAAACATTTTTAAGTTCACTCAGTTCATTCAATATGTTGCTGTGGTCATTCAGCCCCTCAGACAGGATTGAAATTGCTTTTGATTGAAAATAACTTTTCTCTTCATGTCAATATTTTATTGTAAAAAGTTAAATGTTGCCTTTTTTTGCAGGCCTTTGTTAGAGAAGAGAACATTCAGAAGAATCCAGGATTTATTCTGACAAACTTAAGGTTAGTTTTGTGTCATTCACTGAAGTAATCAGTGACTGTTATAAATCATATATGGTTATAAATCAGCTTAAGGAGAAGACACATGTTTTGTTATCTACCTTAGTATTGATATTAAAAGATAACTTTTTCCTAACAGAGTAATTTGTGTTTCAAAGATAATACAACATTTTAAATGCAAAGAAAAGTGATTTCAACGGTAAATTCTGAACCCTTGCTCAGGAGAAACTTCTTTAAGAACAGTTTTTACTGAAAGGCTGCTAAAAATGAGAAAAGCAAAATTATTTTTAATGAACAAGAGGGTAATGTTGTTTGTTGGGATTTTTGTAGACTCCTTTTGGAATTCTGGAAGACACACTACTTGAAAAGAGGAAAGGATTGTTCAGCTCTAGAACAGGTGAGATTTTTGCATTTATTTTGGCTATGTTACTACCTTGTGTTATGTTTAGGTGATATTTTTATTGAATGGCTTGCATGGTGAATTATTGTATGTAAATGCTAATTTTTTTTATTTGCTCTTAAATTCTGCATGTGAATTTTACTTGTTAAGTATAGAGGAAACTTTTTTAATAATTTTAGAAATGTTCAGCTGAAATTTTATGTTAAGAAAAGAGAGATCTTTTTCCACTGTTTTTAGAATTCTGTGTTAGCATGTACTAGCATGTATGACTTAATTTAAAATTCTTTTCTTTTTAGAGTTCCTGTATCAGCTTTGATCATTGGAAACAAGTTGTTGATGTTCTCTTGTCAGACTCAAGTTACAGCACATCAGTCCTTCATTACCTACCATCATCTTGCATGAGGGGTTCATAACAGACAGCTGTCAATCAGAATATAACACATTTGCAAAATACACCAAATAAAGCCTATCAGCTATAAAATGGGCTTTCAAGCAGGTCTTGATAGTTTAAAGCAGAATAGATTTTCTCCATATGGCAGGAATTGTAATTTTATTCCCCATGTTTTTAATCACTGAATGGATTGTGATGATGAAGGTCTTTCAAAAAGAAATTTATATTGTGATATACAAAGCATTAAAAATATTAGGTCAGTACCAACAAAAAAAAAAACAGAAAAACAGGAAGGTTTGGAATGTTCTTGTCAGTAAATTATTGTGTAACATGAAGGATTTGTGTGCATTGCTCAATCATGCTCAAGAAAGAAAGGTGTGTTAATACACTTTATAGGTTTTGGGAATGCATATTGGTTTTTTGTGAAAGAAATGTGTCATTTGAATGGACAAGTTGCTTGTGAAAAAGAGATTTTTGAGTGGTGTTTTGTAAAATCACTCACTGTCAGGCCAGTTGTAAAACAGACTTTAGTGTTGTAATGGTCAATGAATATACAATGGTTTTGTTTCTATCTTAGTATGGCATATGACTCGTTTATTGAAATTACAGGCTGTAGATAAGTGCTTTTAAGAACATTTTACGTTTCTAGAACAACTGAAAAATATGTTGGGCTAGAAATTTGCTGTGAAAAAATATCAAAATGTAGGGTTACCCTTTATTACCAATCCCTGAGGGGTTTGAATTTTTTATCATTGGTTTATGATGGTTATGAAGGTAACTAGAGGTAGCATTTATAATAGTGTATTTATTGTCACATTATTGCAATGTATGATAAACAATCTTAGTCTTGTAAAATATTAAATTATTTTTATGAATTATTTTTTGTAAGACTTGTACATTCGGCTAGAAATTTTAATAAATGTCTAATCACTGGTGCAAAAATGGTTCTTTGTGTTTGAGTTTTGTACAAATTCAGAAGTATTTGTTAAGTTTACAGATTTTATAACGTAGAACTTTGTCAGGGTGTTTTTTCGGTTCAATCCCTTTCCAAACGCCGTGCACAGGAGACCTGAAAACGCGTTTTTTCTCGGAAAGTGTATCGAATGTTTCCTCTCCACTCTGAGAAACGGACAAGGAGTTTTCGACCAGCTGATATAGTGTGAAAACGCAACAATTAACAGTGTGTCACCACCAAAGAACGAATGCACAAAAGGCTAACGCTTGCAACGTCAGCCAGTTTACGTTATTATGACTCGGTTGATAATACTAAGTTACCCAGTTCTGCTCTCCCACCGACGAAGCACCACAATTTCTTTAGAAACCTACCCCCTTTATTCATAAATTTAAGGACTTCAGATTTCGTTATGAATTATATAGGAGAGTAGTTTTAAGCCTCGTTCGTATGAATCATTCAGAACGGTAGCCTTAATCTGTTAAAATTGTGTTTCCAAATTATCTTAAGCGTAATATAAACAACGTCTTGATGTTATAAATAGTGGTAATAGCCGAGTGGAGTCCAATTCGGTCTGTAATCATACAGGTAATGAACAAATCGGACGAGCGCGAAGCGGGAGTCTGATTTGTGAATCACGAGTATGATCACTGACGGAATTGGACAAGAAATCCTGTAACCAACTAATAATAACCATCTCAATTTCCGAAAAAACAAATAAACCCAGAACAAGTATCTCCAGTGGACACAACGTCTTATAGAAAATTCCTCCATTTGGAAATTTCTCAGTTTTTCTTTGGATAAGTGGTTGTTGCTATGGTCATTGTAATCATTTCTGTGATGGTGGATTAGCTGAATGGACTTACTATGATTAGCTGCTTCAAATGTCCAATTACAGGTGTTCGATTGCAGCCAACTGTTCGATTACACTGTCGGATTACAAATGTACAGAATGAAATAGTGTCGTTTGATCGTCCGGGTGAGTGTAGTCCTGAGAAGGACTTTTGTCGGTAGTGGTGACTGACGTTTCGACAACCTGAGCGGAAGTCATTATCAGAGTCAAGTGAAAGGTTGTCGAAACGTCAGTCACCACTACCGACAACAGTCCTTCTCAGGACTACACTCACCCGGACGATCAAACTACACAATTACATGCTACCCCCGGGTTCAAACCATTTACTGTATTATGTACAGAATGATTAGTAAAAAAAAAAAAAGCTGCGAATCCACCAATAATATTTGAGGAATTTGTGATTGTTATGATTAAAGCTGAAGCAAAGAAATCACAAAGGCCCATTAAGACTTAAAAAATATCATAATAAAAGAAACATAGAGAACTATGATTTGGTTCAACAAGACAAGTTCCAAGTCTGGGAAAGTATGTCGAGTTAACTAACAAGTCATCAACTGACAAACTATTATCAGTAAAGTGAGTGAAGACCAAAGGGCGAAAAACAGAAACAGACAAAACATTCTCCGTTTTCTTTCTCTTTTTATTTTATCAGCAAATAGGCAATTGTTACAAAGCAAACCCTCTGTTTCAAAGCACCTTAATTGTTACCAGTGCAAGCGGTTGAGCAGGAATGAATGTTCTGTTTCGAAATCTAATCTAATCTGATAATATAATTAGGGAAATCATGTTTCGCTGAAGACTTTTATGCAGGATAGATTTTTTAGATCTAAGACTGAGGTGTGGGCACTTCCGCTATAAAGATCCGGGACACTGAAATATATCCTGTGTAGGCATTGGCGTTGCGGTATCCACGACAATTTCCTACCCAGAAACCCACGCGCACCTTGCCTTTTTTGATTTTGGAACAATGTCCCTCAATGTGACGCACACTGTGGATATTTTGGCTCGTTCCACCTCCCATCACAATTCCATCAATCGGTTGGGGTGTCTTACATTCAACACCGTTGAAGGTAAAGTACCAACGTTTGCAACACCCATTACAGCCAGCGATTCTGAGAGAACCGGTCCAAAAGACTCGAAGAGCTGTGTCCGATAAATTTTTGCTAAATACGCAGTCCTGTCAAAAAAAAATTTAAAACGAGTCAGTCTTTCAGAACTTGTCATGTCAATTAGTGATAAAGTTTTTCTGGCCTTTCCACTAACTTTTCCCAATAAAGTGAGAAACTAGTTTAAAAATAATGAAGAGAGAGAGAGAGACTTGAGCTACTCGCCTTGATCATTCCATTGTCCTTGTCGTCATTCAAGTTGTTCCAAGTACATTCTTTCCAGTTCTTGTGCGAAATCGCACCAGGCATCCCAGGGATTCCATTTGCCCCACCCTCTCCACGCTGCCCCTTTTGACCGGGAGGACCTTGGATTCCAGGTTCCCCTTTAGCACCTTGATTACCTTTGGATCCTGAGGATCCCTGGGGTCCAGTCTTTCCTAGATTTCCTTTGTCACCTTTGGATCCTTTTCGTCCATCACGACCTGGTGCTCCAGGAGGCCCAGGCTTTCCACGCGCACCAGGTATTCCGCCATAATAAAAGGATTGAGGTTGCTGGATGAAAAAGTAATCTATAATATGATCTTATGGGTAACAAGGGAATAAACTAGAACAGAAACCACAGGAAGAGGGGTAAAAGAAATTAATGGAATAAAAGGGATAGGGAAAGCTATAGAAATATATATTGAAGCAATCACAGATCAAGAAGAGTAACAGCGAATAAATAAAGCACAGAATCTGAGATAGGGAATAATAGCAAATACAGACGGAACAAATGGAAAAATCAAAATCAACAACAGGAAAAAAATGAATAAGAAAAATTGCAAAATTGAAATGAACTGCAAGAATAAAAGGAATAAAAGAAATGACCAAATCAAGATGAGCTACATGACAAAGGAGAAAAAGAGAAGTTGGAAAACTTGAGGGAACTACAGGAATAATTGAGAAAAATAACAGAAATACAAAAAAAAAAAAAAACGAAATTGATAAAAAGAGCAGAATAACAGACATAAAAAAAAGTTAAAGCAGGGAATAAGAAAAATAAGAGTGATTCAAAATTTTAAATAAAAAAATGAAAATGAAAATGACAGAAGTAGAAAAACTAAACTAAAAAAAGAAGAGGAACGGAGATAAAAGCATTATAATGAAAAAAGAAAAAATATAATTACAGAAATCATAAAATTAAAAAGTGGACGAAAGGAAAAAAGCAGATATAATAAAAGAGATTACAACAACAAGGTGAATCATGGGATTGGAATAACAATGATTGCGGGCAAAAGAAGGGTAAGAAATAATAAATATAAAAAAGAAGACATGAGGAGAATAACAGAAATTACAAAATGTAACTGAAATGATGACAATTAAAGAATTAAGATAACTTTATGAAAAGAGAATACTAATAGAATTTGTGGAAATGAAAAAAATAAGTCAAAGATAACTCAGATTAAACATATAAGTTTAGGCCTATATGTTTTAAACGCTCCCGAACTAACTTGAACTGCGCTACTTCTATTCCTCGATATATTCAGTAACGTCATTGTAATCTTTAATAAATTAGACAAAAGTTCATATTAAAAATATGTCCTGTAATAGAAACTCTTCGCTGTGATTTAAAGCTAGATTGAAATGGTAGGGTCGTTTTTTGGTCGATATTTTCATAACTTACCATTTTGTAGATCGGTTGATTGGTTTTGTCTGCTGCAACGAAGGAAACCAGGAATAACAATGTAAACAGAAAAAACAAAGGAATGACGTACACGTGTCGCTCTTTAGCCATTTCTGTTTAGTCAGTTGACGTCACCTTAAAATAAAGCAAGCCAACGTGTAAGTGAGTTAACGTTACTTGACGGATTAAAACGATATTTTCTTCGAAAACGGTCCGATCCGATATTGCTTCTAATATTCGAGAAAATTATTTCGATTCGTGTTTTTTTACTGAATCATTTAATGAAATGACTGAGCTATCTTTTTAAACGAAACTAAGGTAGATGCTTGAGACTCGCGACTGTACAAACAACTGTGAAAGAATGGTAATAGTAATGTTATTTTTGAAGATGCATTGAACAATTTTCAAGCGAGTGTTGATAGTAATCAAGAAGTACCATGGTTTTGTATATTAATAGGCCTTTTGATTTGTCGGAAAGACTCGCGTGATACTCAGATCTCCAACCACCAGATGCATAACGATATCCAATCACGACATTGTCGCTCGCATTTTCTTGCGCTTTGGGCCGATTGCTGTTTAGATTCTAACTGGATCCATAGGCTTGTTCCATTTGTCCTGATTGGCCCTTGTGGTTACTTTAGCTTTGGTTTTGTGAAACTCAATCGAACTGTGCTCTGATTGTGTCGAAGTAGCTAACAAGTTTTAGTTTTCCATTCTTTCCAACATCATGAATAAAATGACTTGTATAGTGCCTTTTTTTTTAAAACTACTTCGAAAAAATATTAATCTTGCCCAGTCACCTTAATACCTCTTTTTTTGTTTTTGAGTTCTCTTTCACCCTCATTTATCCAACTTCACAAAATAGCTCTCCAAGCTATGAATTTTTCGTAAAAACCCCAAAAAATGAATGCAGAAGAGTGCCAGCATTTAAAAAGCCGAAAACGCTCTCGATGAAAAAATTTGTTGATAGCGCACAGGGAGCTTTGATCTTAAAAAACGTTACACCTTGAAAACCCAATGGGAAAAAAAAAAGGAACTAAGGAAGACAAAATCTTACTTTGTACTTTTAGCTTGAACTTTTTCTCTTTTCTTCGATAACCGTAGCTCTCTAAGGAGTCACTATTATGGAATATGGAAAAACTTTACTTTATTTATGTTGATTCTGGTTCGTGTTCGGACCGGTTCATCATTGTTTACTCTTAGAGCATGCTTGTTTAATAAGCGTATTATATTAGAGACAATGTCTATGTCGATTGCTTTGTCTGTAACCAACTCATTTAAAGTATTATCTGCATGACTAAACAAATAAAATTTATAATGACGTTCGAAGCTGAAAAAGAGGTTTCGTCCGCATTGACAGGAAGAACATGAAATTGGTATGGTGGTTAACACGAAGCAGTAGGGTATAATCCGCACACTGATTTTGGATCCAGCAACAAAAGAAAACTGTCTTGATTTAACAGCGAGACTGTCTTGATTTGGTTGACCTAAAGTAATATGAACTGCTTGCCATCCTATTTACTCAGCTGGTTATACAGCTAATGACATTCCAGAGGCTATAGGGCTCATCCTGTTCGAGAGAAATGATATCTATAGCTAAGCATCCGACGAAATGAGAGGACTAGAAATTTTTTAATTAAGCTACATCAACCTTTCGGAATTCCTGCAAAAGACAAAACGTTTCGGGTCAGTTATATATAATTGTTCAAAATCACCGTGAATATCGATTATTTTACCTCTGAGTTGTTCATGTCTAGCAATTCAGGATACTTTTGTGGATGCTTTCATTGACAGTTCGAAGAATTGTTTTCATTGAGAATAAAACACAAAGCGCGTGGCTCTTTTAATAAGTGAATTAGGAGATGAATGAGTTGGTCAAAGGTTCTTGAATCCCACAGCTGTTTACGTATTGAAGACTTATAAACATGCAATTATTTCTGTTGTAATGGCCTGCTTTGACGTCAGCTTAACGGAGCTTCAGTACTGAAACTTCACTGACCGTTAAGGACAACCGTACATTGCAAACCGAATCAAGCAGGATGATGTCGATTGATAACTAGAAGAAAGTCAGTCAATATTGACGAAGCTTTGTGATATAGAATCTGCATACTTGTTAAAAGCTTATAAGCACATCAGTTTTATTTCGTTGGTTGTTTGTTTCTTGAGCACGCCTTATTCTCAGATCGAGCCGCGCCACTGGATTATTTCGTAATCAAAGAAACCAAAATTGCAGAAAATGAATTAAAGTGGCACAATAAATCCCTTATTCTAAAGTTAAACATATAATTCTAGTGGTAATTTTGCTCGTACTTTTTCTCCCTTTCGCATACTTTATCTTAAAACATCGCATGAGGAATACATGTTGCACTGAAATAGAATTAATTGAAAATTATTAAAAGCTTATAATAAAAGATGATTTAAAATTAAATGTACGATTTAAGAGGAACGAAATTACACCTCTACATTCTTCAATCAAATTCCGCTGAGACTTACGGATATTATCTCTTTTAATTCTTAAGAATGTTTGCCGAAGTTCTACAGAACAGGCTCGTTTTTTGTGAAACACGCATTATCTGAATTACCTGCGACATATGTATCAAATTCATCTACATTTTATTGGTGCAAGATATTTAGTGTTGAGTATGTTTTTAAAAGTAATGTTTTGTATGAGTAGACAAACACCGGATAGAAAACAATGAACCGAGAATGCATCAAGATTAAGGCGGGATACAATCAACTCAAGCAAAAACTCTCAAACTTGAAAAATTTAGCTAAATTTTACGAAATGCATGATTCTTACTTAATACCTTATTCACTTTTTCGTTTTGTTAATTGATCAACGGTTGTCAACGATTTAACACCTCTTCATTGAGCGTTTTGGTGGATATTTACCATAGTTATTTAGGGGAGAAAATTATATTTGGGGTGTATTTATTATAGAAACTTAAAGAATGAAGCCTCCAAGCATCAGTGGTTTCTTTTTAATGAAGCATTTTCTGCCTATATAAAAAATTATATGCCTCGGGTTAAAAGTAAATGCAACCTCATATTAGTATGTGCATTCTGACCGAGCCCATGTCAATAAGTCGTAGCCCTAGCGAGTAAACTAAAACATTTACGATTGAATTATCAGTAGAAAAAAATTAAAAACATTGCAAGAGGGAATTCAAAGTCTTAAACAGGTAAGCATTCCCAACCGTAAAAAAATCATCGTGGCGGAAAGCTAGAAGAGTGACCTCGGGAAATTGGAAAGTCCTCTCATCCTCATCATATCAACACAGAGTACCTGTAAAACCGAGGCGTCGAGGTATTTTGCTGACCAAACTGCCCTCGACCTTTTTCCCTATACGCCCATGAGTCAGTTTCTTTCATTTTGTTGTTGAAGTCGGTTTTTGCTGATGCATACGAGGCGAAACTATAACACACCCTCTGACAGAATGCAACAGTGATTCAAATCATGGGGTTTTCAAATGCTTTATTCACTGATATCAGACGTGGAACAATTGCAAAACGGACTCAGACACAATAATATCTCCTCGTTATTGAAAGCCGATCAATATAAGATCGACTCCTGCTGCTAAATACACCTAAATAACTCGTAATATCAGTAATTTTCGGTTCTACGTGTTTATACTGGACTATGCTTAGAATCATCAACCTAAGGCTGAGGCGCAGGAACTTCCTCGATAAAGATCCGGGACACTGAATTCCAACCCGTGTTAGCGTCAGCGTTTCTCAAACCGCGACAATTGCCGACCCAGAATCCCATGCGCACCTTTCCTTTGTGGACGTTGTTACAGTGACCCTCAATATGACGGACACGGTGAGGATTCTGCGCTGCCCTTCCTAGGTACACAACGCCGTCAATTGGTAGGGGACCTGAACATTCAGCACCGTTGAAAGTGAAATACCAGCGCTTACAGCAGGTGGTGCAGCTAGCTACTATCAGTACTCCAGTCCAGTAGACATGCAGGACGGTGTCAGAAAAATTCTTGGTGAATATGCATTCCTGTAGGAAAGAAAATAAAATTGAAGTAATTAATTTGTCAAAAGAGACTGAAGAGTGGTTGAAAGCAGATAAGAATTCTCTGCCGCTGACGCAGTTTGCATCTTTTAAGACCATGATCGATACTGATTCCAAATAATGTGGCACGAATAATTAAATAAAAGGACTTCCGTTTCTTTGAAAACTAATCTGGCTTTGACAAGTTTTTACCTTGATAAGCCCATGGTCCTTGCTGTCGTCCAAGTTGTTCCAGGCGCATTCTTTCCAGTTTTTAAAAGGCTTAGTACTTGCCCGAATTATCCCACTTTCTCCACGTTGCCCCTTTTGGCCAGTAGGACCCTGGATTCCAGGCTCTCCTTTATTACCTGGAGGTCCATGGCGTCCAGTTCTGCCTTGGCTTCCCCGATCCCCTTTGGCTCCGTCACGTCCATCTCGGCCGTCACGACCTGGTAACCCAGGGGATCCAGGCTTGCCGTGCATACCTGGTATTCCGGCGTTACAGCTCGAAGGACTTTGCTTTGAACATGAAACAACATTGATATGTTAAGAAAGCCAGGAAACAGAGACGGTCTCCACGAGAACTAATACAAAAAGTTTATAGCAGTAATGCAAGACTAAGTCTCGAGATTCCAACCTCAGACCTTCGGATCTCGCGTATTTTACAAACTGGGCTACAGAGGAATCGTCCACAGATCAGATCATATATCAGGTTCATCTTTCAATGACTAACCACCTGTTATTTTTAAATTTATCACAGGATATAAGTGAGGCTTCACGCACCACAATTTCTTGCAATAATCGAGTTTATCAAAAATCTGATTTCTATGACTAGTAGTGATTCCTTTTTGTATCATTTTCACTAGTAAGTGCTTTGTTTCATATCTGGCTTATCAAATCAGTGAGGGACGATCAGTTCCAAGCTGAAACATTCTCGAGCAAAGAAGGAAACTGCGTGAACTTTTTCATTTTTTTCAACACCGGCTGCACTCTTGATATGACGGTCTGTTGATGTCAGATGCACAGGATAACATTAAGGCCAAATTACATTTCTTAACTCTCCATCTCAAACCCTCGATCACGACAAATTTTTTTCTGAAAGACATTCAGTTATCTAAGACTTTACCATGGGTTGATTGTCGGTTTGTTTCCCGCTGGTGATTTCTGTGATAACGTGGAGTGTAGCCAGAAGTAACAGCAACAAAGTTGCTTTGAACATGGCGACCAGGTGGTTATGTAGGCTAAATTTGAACTCAGCCCTGGTGATACAGGCTCTCTCCGGTTATATGCCTGTGGAAGAACAATGGTAGCATTATGTTGCCCAGTGAACCATCCCCTTTATTTTTTAGCATCTTGATCGATTTTCTTTGAGAGTCTTATTTGCCCCTATTTCAATTACTTTTTAAAATCTTTTGACATAATAAGAGCAGTTTCTTCTTCTCCGAAACGACACAAAAATAATTATTCTTTATGTGATATCATTAACTGCATGAGCCTATTGTAATGACGATGTATCACTAAGAGCTTTTCTTCAAACGTTCTCTCTTGGATAGGCAGGAGCCCTAAAGCGAAGAATGGAAAGGAAGAAAGGTGTTTTAATTGAACATAAAAAGGAGAGTTACGTAAAAGAGAAAACAACCTACCTTACTTTTCGTGAATTTTATGTATTGCAAGGGTATCCTCTTCAGCGGGCGTACCACAATGAGGTGATGAAGTCGTCTATACTTACTTTTCGTGAATTTTATGTATTGCAAGGGTATCCTCTTCAGCGGGCGTACCACAATGAGGTGATGAAGTCGTCTATACTTACTATTCGTGAATTTTATGTATTGCAAGGGTATCCTCTTCAGCGGGCGTACCACAATGAGGTGATGAAGTCGTCTATACTTACTATTCGTGAATTTTATGTATTGCAAGTGTATCCTCTTCAGCGGGCGTACCACAATGAGGTGATGAAGTCGTCTATACTTGCTATTCGTGAATTTTATGTATTGCAAGGGTATCCTCTTCAGCGGGCGTACCACAATGAGGTGATGAAGTCGTCTATACTTACTATTCGTGAATTTTATGTATTGCAAGTGTATCCTCTTCAGCGGGCGTACCACAATGAGGTGATGAAGTCGTCTATACTTGCTATTCGTGAATTTTATGTATTGCAAGGGTATCCTCTTCAGCGGGCGTACCACAATGAGGTGATGAAGTCGTCTATACTTACTATTCGTGAATTTTATGTATTGCAAGTGTATCCTCTTCAGCGGGCGTACCACAATGAGGTGATGAAGTCGTCTATACTTACTATTCGTGAATTTTATGTATTGCAAGTGTATCCTCTTCAGCGGGCGTACCACAATGAGGTGATGAAGTCGTCTATACTTGCTATTCGTGAATTTTATGTATTGCAAGGGTATCCTCTTCAGCGGGCGTACCACAATGAGGTGATGAAGTCGTCTATACTTACTATTCGTGAATTTTATGTATTGCAAGTGTATCCTCTTCAGCGGGCGTACCACAATGAGGTGATGAAGTCGTCTATACTTACTATTCGTGAATTTTATGTATTGCAAGTGTATCCTCTTCAGCGGGCGTACCACAATGAGGTGATGAAGTCGTCTATACTTGCTATTCGTGAATTTTATGTATTGCAAGGGTATCCTCTTCAGCGGGCGTACCACAATAAGGTGATGAAGTCGTCTACAGCTATTTCAATTTACGTTGTCGGATCAAAGCCTCAAGCCTACAAGACAAGACCGAAGGGGAATATGGGATCTTAATGAATAATTATCAGCAAAATTAACAATGCCTCGTCCATATCTGTTCTTGTTGCTCTTTGTTAAGACGCGCAAGGCAATACTAATTGTATTTTCAGCCTCCATGTCCATCTCGCGCCGACAACCCCGAAAGCCTAAAATTGATTCTAATCTACCCATACCGCCTTTCGGTCTTGTCCCGTACCCTTGAAGCTTTGATCCGACAACGTAAATTGAAATAGCTGTATACCGAGCGTGATTTGTTCATCGCCCATCACTCTTTCCTTTTTGTATGATTTTTGCTGAAGCGTGGTTCGTCGGTTTCAATTTATTTATTCAAAATGCATGTGACAAGCATATTTCTGATGCAAGGGCTACATGAAAAATGTTTATCTTCAGCACAAGATATGAACATAAACAGATGTCGCTCCTAAATTTCGTATTTTGTGGGGAAAGATTTGCTTATGATTGATTTCTAACCAAGAGTTTGGCCATAACTCAAACTTGCAGTTGAAAGATGTAAATAGGAGCATTCACAACCACACGCTTTTGGAAGCGGCTAAGGCCATTATTCGTCCAATGTATAAGTTTAAAAACACACCAATCGCCGGCGGTGGACACTCCTGGCTACATCTTCACGCATTAAGGATGTTATGATACCATCAAAATATAAAAGGACCAATGCAATGACATCAGTCTCGTACCACATTGATGTGGAGGGTAGATTTAACCTAAAGCTTAGTCAAACTTATCCATCTTGATAACTGTATTCAGGAAGCGCCGTTCAAGTGAATTATTCCTGCGGATTGAATGTGGACGGTTAGTCTTACCTGTTAAATTGCGTTCCCAAATATCTTAGGCATGATGTTAACAAGGTCTTGATGTAACAGACGCAGAAAGGCTCATCGAGACTAACAAAAAGATCTAGAGGAACCAAAGAGAACTATGAGCCAGCATAACATGACAGGTTCAAATTTCAAATTAACAAAGAAGACACCAACCAACGAGTCATTATCAGCAAAGTAAGTGGACGCAAAGGAAGCAAAACAAAAACAGACACAACATTCTCCATTTTCTTCCTTATTTTTATTTTATCAGCGAATAATAATTGTTACAAAGCAAACCCATATTTCAAAGAGCCTTTACTTTTATCAGTCCAAGCGTTTATATAAGAACGAATGTTCTGTTTCGCAATCTAAGCTTGTGCTTTCGGGATTTCTTCGACATAGATCCGCGACACTGATTGCCAGCCAGTGTAGGCATCGTAATCATTTCGGCTGTTTGACTGACAATTACCGACCCAGAACCCCACGCGCACCTTGCCTTTGTGGATGTTGTTACAGTGACCCTCAATATGGCGGACACGGTGAGGATCTTGAGACCCAGCACCACCCAGATACACAATGCCGTCAATAGGCAGGGGACCTGAACATTCAGCACCGTTGAAGGTGAAATACCAGCGTTTGCAGCAGGTGGTGCATCTATAGACCCGAAGGGTTCCAGTCCAAGAAACGAGAAGAGATGTGTCGGAGAAGTTCTTGGTAAACACACACTCCTGTGTAAAAGAGTGACCAGAAATTAAGAAAAGAATCACAATGAACCCAAGATAAATAAATAACTTAACATGGAATTTGTGCAATTTCATGAGGAACTTCTAAGCTTGGCTGTTTTGTTGGGATAAATTAATATTATTTGCAAAAAAATTAACAGAGGTATAGTATTCTTTAAAACATACTCTAACCTATTCTTTCGTCTTACTGTCATAACTATTTACCTTGATGAGGCCGTGGTCTTTGTTGTCATTCAAGTTGCTCCACGCACACTCTTTCCAGTTCTTAAAAGACATCATACCGGGAGTCACGAGGATTCCGTTTACCCCACTTTCTCCCGGCTGCCCCTTTGGTGGGTTCTCCTTTAACACCCGGAGTTCCCTTGGGGCCAGGAGGACCCTGTGGTCCAGTCTTCCCTGGGCTGCCCCGGTCGCCTTTAACTCCTTCGCGTCCATCACGGCCGTCACGACCAGGTGCCCCGGGGAGCCCGGGCTTTCCGTGCATACCAGGTATCCCCGCATAAAAGTATGGAGGATGTTGCTGGTTTGAAAATGAAACATTAATGAAAAGTTAGGATTAGGAGACGTACCTTGGCGCAGTCAGACATGTATTAAGCGGTCACCAACGGGGAATGGCGAAGTGACCACTGAATACAGGTTGACCGCTAAATAAAGGTTCCACAGAATACGAGTATTGTTAAAAAACGAAAAAACACCATTTTATGTCATAATTGACCACTCAATGTAAAAAAAAAAAACGCTCAAAAAGACTACTTACATTGATTTCGGGAGACAAATATGAACGCTTTCGGGATTATGAAAACCAGCCGCTTAACACAGGGTGATCGCTTTATACGGTGTCGAGAACAAGTTGAAGGTTTAAGCTCCCCTTTTTTCTATCGCTCTTAGGCGTTTCAAAAGATCGTGAAATCTTTTCCGAGAAATATAAAAACCCGCGTTTTTATATTTTTTTCTTTTCACGGTATTTTGTAGAATATATACTTGTGCTACAATCTAAATAGACATCTAGAAAAAACAAATATTTTCATCTTTTAAGCCCTTGATGTCTATTTCCTGTTACTGGAGTAAATATTGTAACTTTATGATTTTACCTAACGAACATTTTTGGATGTTTCTGAGCAACGAGGACTGTTTTCGGCCTATTTAGCATGAAACTAACATCTTCTTTTTCCAATTTCGACTCAACGAGTTCACAAAGGTTTCATGGACATTTTACAGACATGGATCTAAAGTTTCACATTTTCTTTTATCCTTAAAAAATTAGTTATTGGTTTTCCCTCTTTCGTAAAGGAAAAAATCCTGACTTAATCCGAGAACTTTATCAGAGAAATGAAATAAAATAAACTTGCCACTTTGGAGCTTGATGCTTGCGTGGATTTGTCGCCCGCAGCGAGACAGAAAACCAAAGAGGAAACCGCAAACAAAGAAATCCAGGAAGTTGCTGTTTTCACCACCATTTTTTGTCCATAACCTTTTTGAAAATAAACAAACAATCAATTGCTCGGTAGATTTAGGAAATGTTTACTAGCTAAATTAATAGACCGGTAGTCCACAAATAAAATTAGAGGTAAAAACAGAAAACGATAGCTCATGCCGGCTGTTAAAGAAATGAAGCAATGAAGTGCTATTCGCATGATACAAAGTCGAAGGTACCCATAAACGTCAAGAAAGCTTCCTTCAGAGAGAAGATAATTCAAATATAAGCAAAGATATTAATATTTTTTGCATGTTTCACCTTTATTTTTTAAATTATTTTGTAACTTCCTTTGGCGCGTAGAGGTTTCAACTGTATTGTTACATCTACAATGTCATTTCAAGCCGAAGAAGTTTCACATTTGGATCAGCATTTTACTTAAGCGTGCCACAGCTTGTTCATGAAATCCCTCCCAGTAATAGATGATTTTGTGATCTTGAGAAATTCAAGAAAAAAATGGAGTTCTTACTTATCCTGTCATGTAAAACGCTTTTC